GCAATCCTGATGGATTACGCTTTGCATTGTCCCGAGCTGTTCGCGGTAGCTGGGATCTCTATAACCTCTTCATTAACATAACAGATCCACTGGCGCATGACGGTTCCTTCTTCAGAGAAACATTCTTCATGATATAATAATAAGTAAATAATTGAAAAGACTAAATCGATTTATAAAGAACTTAATTTTCAGTCAGATTTTTTATTATATTATATCTGAATTGAATTTTGATTAAGTTACCTATGAAGTACTCGTCGAAATTGAATCACAGGTTAAAAATTTGGATAAAACCAAATAAATTACGATAATGTTCATCTGTCCTAGAAAGGCTTTCAGGAAATAATAATTCAGTGCAGGAGACTTTCTTGAAAAGAGATGATTTAAATATTGGAAAGAAAAGAAATTATATATAATATCAATCTACAACTACTGTACACACTTTTCTTCAAACATTCCAAACTATAACATGGAAGCATAGATAATGTTATCCCCATACTGGCGCGATGCAGTTTCTGATAAATCCAATAATTACTCTTTAAAATTAAAGGATATTTTCTGATTTAAATCTAATTAACTTGTTACGTCATTCTACACTCGGATTTCACCACCTCCATAGTCATAGAAACTCTTACAGGCCACATACCGTTCATTCCAAACAACAACATTATTTATATTTAAAAAAAAAAGTTATTCATAAGGATAATTATTTCAAATTTATATAGAGTAAAATAAAACTTAATAAACATTAAATATTAATACACTAATTGAACTTTTAATTTAATGAGCTTTTTAGATAATACTTGGCGATGTTTTCTGTTTAAAGATGACCAAGGTATAGAAAATCTACACAGAACACAAGAAATATTTTGTAATGGAAAAACGACATTTCTGGTGTCTTAAAAAGTTACTAAATATTTAATTAAAAGTATTAGATCTCTCAGGTATATTCACTATATGAGTTTATTATTAAAACAGCTCCAAAATATAAATTGATTTTTTTTTAATTAAAAATGCAATGCAATATTAACTCCTGAATATAGGAGTAAGCGATACATGATATAATAGACGATCTCACAACGAGAAAAGGATATGGATGTGAGATGTATTCCAAAAGTGATTTCCTCTTATTCATTTTATTTTTGTTTCAAATCAGAAAGAAACACTTTGGATAATGTTCTCCGCTTTATTATGTAAAATGTGATCAAAACTATTTACAATGAAATTCTTAATCATGATATCTTCATTGTTTCTAGGTGATACATTTTTTTTATATACTTAATTGATAGTTAAAATTTTTCAATAAAAGTCTTATAATTTTTATGCTGATTCAATATGTCTCTATATAATTTTACATTTGTTCTTTCTTGCTGCCTAAGTAGATTTGAGCTCCATTGAATAGAAATTAATCTTGAGCAAGACATTATGCAATATCAGAAGATATTTTATATAGCAATACAATTAATGAACTTCCAACATTTTCAAATTCTGAATGAAAAGCATCGAGCTTCCAAAATCATACGTATGCCCCTGATTCTTTTTATAAAACATCTAATCATATTGATTCAACTCATATTATTTAATTTTTAACAAATCAAGTAGGAATACAAATCTGAAACAGCATCATTATCAAAGGGACAAAAACTCTGCCTTATAAATAATGTGAACCCCCATCAATGTAAAGACTTCATTCTGTGAAACATTGTATATATTTACTTGATTCTTACTGACAAGGATGCAAGTAACCACAATGTTACGTTTAGTGATGTCATCTTCATCTTGAGGATATCCTGTTCTCAATCACTGACTAATGTGTTGCCATCGTTAAATCTATTTTCAATTGTTTTCTTAACCTTAAGAAAACAGTATGAAACTCCTGTTAACATAACGATGAAATGTTTTAATAGGATGCTTTATCTCCTAAACCATATTTTAAGAATCAAAAGAAGATTTTAGAACCACGAAAAGAATCATTGAGGTTGTTACGGTCTTTAATTTGGAAAAATTGTTTCCGCAACAAACTTGTCGGATGCTTAGTGGAGACGGCAGGGTTCACCAAAAATAAAAAGAAAAATAATGAAGTAAATTAAATATTTCTAACGATCTAACAGGAGCCACGCTATTTAATTCGTTGGATTTGGAAAATAGCGAAAACTATAATAATAATAAATAAAAAAAATTTAATTTAAAAAAAATATTTGGACGCGGACTGATCTACGAACTCGGAACCTATGGATTTTAAGATTAAAACATATGTTAATTAACTTCATGACCTATCGAACCTTCTTACTCGGTTAATATTCATTTCCCCTAATCCCTCGAATAGGGTTTTACAATTTCTTATTATACCTTAAAAAAAAAGAATATAATATAATATATACATAAAACGTAAAAACAAACTTAAGAAAATAAAACTGGCTAATATTAATACTAATGATGAATTTACTTATTTCTATTGATTTAAATAACAGTTAAGGAAATGAAAATTATAAACAAGAAATTAGATTTATAAGAAAACAAATAAAATACAAATACATATTTACAAAAACCCCATTGCCGAACTTTGTCCAATTGCCACATTGAGTTTTCTGAGGAAGCAGGAACTTTTTCGATCTAGCGTCGTCAGGATCTCCCCAGTTCATCTCCTCAAGCTGTGAAAATGTTCATTCACGAACTTGTAAAATCAAGCGGCCCTCGCCGCTGATAATCACAGGTTCATGGATAGAAAAAGAAAATCCGGTGTACACCGTAAAACTAAAGTATTTCACACACAAAATCCTTAGCGAGCCTCTACATTCTCGAGGTTCCACCATCTCTCTCTAAACTGTCTTTTGTTTTTCTCTCTCCTATGTCGGCTGTTATACTTGACTTAAAATTAATATTTACAACTAATACTTAAAACTAATTTATTTTTAGCTAAACCTATTCGAGGGAAAACTAACAATTATTTTACGAACTATTTTTCTTTTTGTATTTTTTTTTTCGTCACAAAGTTAGTTGATTAATTTTATTGTAGACATAAATTATATAAAACTCTAATTAAATAAATAATCTTTTTTTTTTATGTTTGAACACTCTGGTTAACTGATCGAACCGTGCTACAGAAAACACCACAAATATAAAAATATTTAAAGTACTGCTTATTTTTCTATGCACATACGATTTCAATCAAACCATTAAAAGGATTGCATTCTTTCATTAGACATTTTCTTTCTTGACCAAAATGGAAGTACTTAAGATATTTTGGGACTCAACGGATGGACACGGAAAGACCCTCACAGGAAGGAAATAATCAAAACGGAATCAAAGAACAAAACCGTGGGAGCGATATGGAAACGAGGCTCTGAATGGTATTTGATGGCAGCGCCTTGAACCTTCTCCCCTGGTTTTTACAACTTGATAATCAAAATATAATTACAGTAATGTCCTGGAGGATTTCTTCTCGGGTCAGGGAGCTGGTTGCGTCAGGGCTCTGTGCCAGGGCCTGTCTCTCCAATGTCGGATTTCACGGATTTGTGTTCAATTACATATATAAAATATTATTAATTTTAGTAGCACTTGAAATATTCACTTCAATGTTTCAATTTAGCACGAATAAGTTACTAATAGGGTCATCAATAAATATCCTAAATAAAAATAGTTTTTAAATAGCCTAACTATATTCTCCTAGATGAGGTCGTTGTTTTAAAATTTAAATATAACACATCGTAAGTTAGTTGCAAAAAGTCACTAACATAAGTTCATTCTTGATGGCACTGGACTTTTAAGGAGGTTTTTTTTAAAAAAAATTTTTGTACTACTTCACTAGAAGGCCGGGTCGAAACCTCACTTCTTATCTATGTTGTCTAACGTCACATAACCTCCCTCTTCTTATCCCACCAAACCTTTCAGTTATTCCCTTATTACGATCACTTATTAAATTATTTATTTTTGGCCCGTTTGTGGAAACGGAGAAACCGCCAGACAACACCTCGGTTCATATTTATGCGAATTTTTGTGGCGGCGGGTTCACACAGAAGAGGACTCGTTCCTCGCTATTTTAAATACCATAAGACTATTTATAGTGTTGATATTTTTTCATTTATATGTACATATGTTCTTTAAGAATTTTTTTATTATTTCATTTTCATCTTTTATATCTACATATGGTCTTTCTTTAAGTGTTTTTGTTATTATTTAATTTTCATCTTTTATATGCACATATGTTCTTTAAGTGTTTTTTTTTTATGATTTCATTTTGATCTTTTATATGTACATATCTTCTTTAAGTGCTTTTTTAATCTTTCATTAATATATGTGACGTAAAATAAAAGTATTTTCGTTTGTTATTACATTTGTTTTTGTTTCTGTTTACACTTTCAATAATACGAATATAATACAACAATACAAAGATAGGAAGGCCGAGAAGATACTGCCTTATCCGAATTATCAGTGTTAAGGTTATAAACATTGGTAGATATCAGTCCAGGCCTGCTAGTGAAGAAGTACCTTTTTTTCAACCTATAAGTAAATTATTCTTGTAATTTAATGTTATTCCATTGTAATATCTTATTTTATATAATTAACATTTATCATAAACCTGGATAAAGGACATTTATATACAATAGATATATGTATTTATATATATCATATGTGATAAATATTCAGGACGCTTTTTTTTTTTTTAAATTTTTTAAAAAATTATTTATTTGTGCCAACGTTTCAACTCAAATATGTGGGTCATCTTCAGTGCTCAAACCACGCCCTGAAGATGACCCACGACCTTCAAGTGTTTATATATACCTTATCTATACACATCTGTATATTTATTTATGTGAATAATACATTTATTTATTTAAACATTACGAGCCTACTTTTAAATCGTTACAAATAGAATAGTAAATAATCTGTTCAAATGAAATTATTTAACCAATGGCCATCACATTTGTAATAACTTCGTCTTAGTTTTTATAAACCATTCTACAAAAGAGTTATTACGCTTTGTCCTTAATGAACTTGATATTATGATGAGTCGTAGTTCCAGGCCCATCCTCATTAACATCTTGAAAGAACCAAGACGACGTTTTATCGCAGCTCTCACAGTCCCGAGTTTCCTTGAACCACACATCCTCCGACCTCTTGCACTTGACATTGCAGAGCTGCCGTCATACCCGAGGAATGCCTCACCTTGGAACAGGTTGCGAAGTGAACGGTGACAGATAGCAGATTACATTAACACCTTTAACAGCAAAATAAGTGGATATGGGCTCATTAGCTCTGAAATTGGAAGGCCGCAGATATATTGCAAAAGACGTTCCTTTTTTTTTATTTAACTTAAACATTACTAATGATTTTTCATTTTGGGTCTAAACTTTTTTTCGTATATTACTCCGTGGTATCATCCGATATTATTTGTTTTGTGAAAATAACTAAATCCAAGATTTTTTCAACAAAGTAATTTTGGGAGCATAGTGGCCGAGCGGGCTAACTCGCGTTGCCTTGCAACCTGATAAACCGAAGATTTTACAGATAAATGAGTTCGAATCTTTTCCGCAGAGACTTTCAACTCAGTCTTTAATTCCCATCCTCTTCCTTGGCATGGATAAACCCGTATATCCGAAAAGGCAAGAAACAGAAAAATAAAAATAAAGTTATTTATCGAATCTATCTGCGGCAGATTATTTATTATATTATAACAGGCTTTGAGTAGAGTCGACTGTGAGATTGGAAGACCCACTTGGGGCACACCAAATCTCTAATGCTTTTCATTAGCTGGAATGAAGGATTGTAATGCTCAATTATTTTAAATAGAGATAGACAACAAGAATCGAAAGAATTTTATTTATTTCTAATTATCAGAACAAATTATAATTATAAAACCAATAGTTCTGGTGCTGTCCGTCTAATTTAAGATATTATTATTCTGACCGAAATTCTGGCATCATTCGAAAATTCCTCTTCTCCCACCATATCGAATACCTCCGTGAGAGTTTTAGGAATGTACAAACAAAGATTATTTTTAATTTAAAGAAGAAATATGAGTGTTGTTTAATTGATATATATTTTTCTATTTTGTTAAAAAATATATCATGTATAATATTATTGAAGGGCATTTTACATTTTTTTAAAAACTCGGTACTCGTGAGCGACGCGGTCTCTATGGACTGCTATCTGCAGTTATCTTGTTATTATAAAGTGTTGTTATTTATATTTCTAATTAATATATATATATATATATATATATATAATATATATATATAATATATAATATATATATATATTATATATATATATTAATAAGAAACAGGCAAAAAAGATACAACACCAAAGAGAAATTTATTTATATTTCTTATTATAGGAGAGTCTAATTTCATATGAAGATAGGGATTATCAGAGCCTTAAACAATAAATATATAAAACAATGACAACACTTTAAATAACACGATAACTGCAGATAGCAGTCCATAGAGGACGCACCGCTCACAAGAACCAAAATTTATTTCCCGAATGACCCTTTAAAAATTCTGGACGACAACGAAAATTTGTTACGATTAATCACTTAAATCTTACGAGATATTAAAATTGTTAACCAATTATTAGATTTTTTTCCTATATAAGACTAGGTTTGCACCAAACAAGAAAGATTGCGTTGAAGAAATCAGTATATTTATAAACAAGCACTGATAAGTATGGGAAAACATTTTTACAAAGATAAGAAATCATTTTTCACTTTCAGATTTACAACCGTTACGGCATCTATGTATTTTAAAAATTAAAAAAAGAAAAAAACACAAAGTGGCCGGTTACCTGTAAGGACATAAAGACTGATATATTTCCTCTATAATCCTGATCCTTAATTAGACCACGAAGAATAGACCATAGAACACCCGCCGAGGTCCTTAGTCTTTATCCTTTTTTCAATAAATAACCACTTAACTAACTATCGATCATTAGCCACATATCGATGTTTTTCAGCGGCGATTACTCCCGGACCGTTATTACCCGTGTGAAATACCGGATCAAAGGGGCCGGTGAGAGCCTGGAAATTAATCTCCCGAACAAGGAGAGGATTAGGGAGTGGAGGGCGCTGCCTTGTCCGTTCTTCGGTGTCTTTCTGTCCGCCGGGCTGCTCTGGGCACGATGGTAATGACTCAGGTTATAAACTAGTATATTAACCTTCTGATAATATCCAAGCTTATTTATATTTAAAAAAGTATTTTTAATATTGATCACACGAATCGACTTGAAAGACTATCACTGTTTTTCTTTAAAGTAATTAATGAGATTAAAACTCAAACAAGAAAGAGAAGGAGTTTTCCCCTCAATTCTATTAAGCAAAGAAGGAAAATCGAAAAATTGGATTAAGAGTTGCAGTTGACTTTTATCCTTCGAGACTGTTCAGAATTGGACAAAGGAATCTTGCTTCTTTATTAAATACTTTAGACAGCTGTACTCCCACCTCTCATTCCGAAATCAATCCAAACCTGATCGGATCCAAAATAAATTAGTTTGTGTATTTTTTTTTTTTTTGAGCCATTAATTCACATACGTCTACACATTCGATGCCGTATGAATATTCTATATATACCGTTAAAAATAATATACATTGCCTAACGCAGACGATATGATCAATACATCGTCAAATAAATTAAGTTCGAACCCACCTCTAACAGAAAATTACCTGGCATTATTTTTAGATGCAATACAGCGGCCATGAAGTAAATGTATCAATAATTTACTGGAAACTATCGATTACATCGAGATATAATGTGAATATTCGAGATTTATGCGTTAAATAGTTGGTTATAGATCACAGGGTAGGTTAAATATGGAAACGTTCTGCCATAGGCTGAGTACTGGTCGTTTCTCTTCCGGCTACACGTTTCTATATAACTCCGGCAAGCTGTTTCTGAGTATTTGTCTTTTAGTGTTCACTTGTAGGTTATTCGTGTTGTAAAAGGAGAAAATATGACCATAGCTATTTCAAAATTCTTGGTTTTCCAATTCAGAAGAATGATGTGGAAATCACATTTAAAAGTTATTTCAAAAATAAATATTAGATTTAATCAATATATGATTAAGTTTGCACAAAAACTCTTTCAATCTCATAATCTATTATTTCACAACTAAAACTTTTTATATATATAAATTATATACTATAGATTATATAATTATATAATATAATTATATTATATATATATATATTAATACATACAACTGTATTAAATAAATACATCTAGTAAATTTTAACATAATGTATATAATGACATGAAAACACTTGCTGAGTAACTACCCAATGGTTGCACTCTAATGATATGTTTACATTAGGACATCACGGGGCCATCTTCTTTTCAGACGCCTCGGAGGGTTGTCAGGAATTGAAGAGGAAGCAAGGTTAGAAAAAAGGGGGTTGGGATGATTCTGAAGTTTACTTTATATATATATATAAAATGGCTTTAATTGTCAAACAAAAGGTTGTGAGATTGAAAGGAATTTTTGTCCAACCTAATCATATATTAATTAAATAATACAAGAGGGGCTCAAGATTTTCGAAAGTAAAAAAATTAATAGTAATATGGTGATACGAGAATGGTTAACCAACTACTAGTAATCAATTAGCAATGTCATATAAAAATATAATGTAAAATATAAATGTATGTTATAATAATAACAAATAATAATAATTCACCTTAAAGCGTAGTAATGAGTCCATAGATTTGTAAAATTAATCGTTAAAAAAACAAAAAAATAATAAATTTACAGGAATTCTTTATTGCCTAATAGATTATAAACAATCTACTCAAGCAAAAGACCATCAAAGTATGTTGTAATATTTTATTTATTTCATTTTCAAGTGCAATTTTTTAATGCACTCAATATATCTAATCTGAAAGCGATATTGGTCTTGTTGAATAATATCCACATTTTTATTACTTAAATACTCGTCTTTACTTTCGCTTAACTATATGTATGAAACATCGGCCAAAATTTCTAGTCTGAGTTTTCAACTTACCGTTAATTTCATAATTAGTGTATATAGGTATGCATGTGTTTTTTGCTTATATTTAATTTGCTTATTTTTAGGTTACTTTATTTTATTTATAGTATATACTTTTGATTATTATTTATTGTTATTTTTCTTCTATTTATTTTATATTTTTGTACATTTACTGTGAATGTTATCTTACCTCACTATAACTAGTTTTCATGTGACAGATTGTTGTAATACTCAATAAAGAAAAAAAAAATTCGCAATTAAAATAAATAACTGTTTCACATGATTACTAATAACAGAAAATGGTAAAATACAAACTATAAAAGTATTCCATAATTTATTAAAAAAGCAAGGAGGGTTAGTAAGATGGAACCAAGAATTATGGAATGCAGCTCCGAGTATATACAATACCGAATACAATACCAGTCGGAATTTGGAACGATTATTAACGAACATGCATAATACGGTATATCATAGGCGAGGAACGCGCTTACTCCGACAGTATATGGATGGCTTTTATAACAAACAGTTTTGATATTAATTAACATTTAATTATTTGCATTAACACCTAATAAACATATTCTCAACCATAAAGAAGCTTACCGTTGTGCTATATAGTATATTTGTTATATATGGCACCGCCATCAGATTAAATAAAACACATGGCATCCTTAAATGAAAATGTGTACTTTTTTCATACTTTTTTTGTATCTTTGTATGTATTTTTCTTTTAATTTAAAAATTTTACTAATTTCCCTCGATTAAAAATATCTATTTCTATTCAAATTATGACGATAAATGAAAGCTATGTGATGTGCGCAATGCACCAGATTTTTAAAAAAACTATTCAGTTTTTAAAAAAATATCATATATAATATTAAAGAATCCCACTATATTCATTTTATAATATAATAAATAATAATAATAATAATAAAAGGCTTAGCGAACCCGAAGGTTCGATGCCGACACCACCAATCGCTTATTACACACCTCCCTCCACCTTTCGCCGTCCAAACCCAGTCCCTTCAGATCGGCTTTAATGCAATCTTCCCACCTTCGCTTCGGTCTACCCCTCGGACGCTTACCATTCGGCACAGCAAATATTAACCTTTTAGGAATTCTCTCGTTACTAAGCCCAACAACTTTACACGCCCATTTGATTCGCCGCGATGAAATTACCTCAATTATATTACCCGGATACAGCTCACGCAATTCGGCGTTGTGTAACCGTCTGAACTCTCCAGTTAACTCATCCTTCTTCGGTCCGAATATTCTACGCAATACTTTATTTTCAAAAACCTTAAGACGCTGTTCATCCCTTAGTGTAAGCGGTCAAGTTTCGCATCCATAAAGAACTGTAGGCAAGATAATTGTTTTATAGATTCTAGTTTTTAAGTTCCGGGACAAGAGGCGCGAACTAAGTAGTTTTGTCACAGAACAATAACAAGCATTTCCCGCCTTCAGTCTAACCTTAATCTCTTCTTCAATTTCGTTTTTTCTAGTTATCGTAGAACCTAGATACCTAAATTTATCTACCTGTTCAAACATATTACCATCTATATCGATATCACCAGTAGTATCGCCATTTTTGCAGCTAACCATATATTTTGTTTTATCCACGTTTATTTCGAGTCCTAGTTCTTTACCGGCTTTCATTAACGTTGTCGTATTTAGTTTTATAGTTTCAACGTCTTCGCTTAACAGTACCAGATCATCAGCATAGCCCATCACGGATGTTGTCCCGCCCAGATAAAACCCTCTCTCGGTTCGCCTTACCTCCCTAATGGCAGGTTCTAATGCCAAATTGAACAGGACAGGCGAAAGAGAATCCCCCTGTTCTCTTTCATTCTCTTTCATATTCATTTTAAGAAATATTTATAAGTCATGATAATATTTTTAAATAGGTACTACTTCGAACAAAAGGTTAAATGTAACCTTTTTTGAGGATTTCCATAATAATTTAATTCAATATTAATTTGACCATTTATTTTTGATATTCATTGATATGAATTTTTTTTCAGTGGAGAATGGCACCTGGGATTTCCTAGATCGGAACTGCAAGGAGCATCGTGGTACCAACTCCTTCACTGGGACTCCATGAGGGAGGCACAAAGCAAGCACCGTTTAAGTAAGTATACTTCACAATACTTTAGATAGTAAAATAAAACTATAAATGAAATAATTAATTTGTGATTTACTATGGAACGTGTAATATATGTTAATATGTTCACGGAATAGTTTCATCGCTACACAAGTTGCAATATTATCAGAAGCAATATCAGAAGTAGTCAACTGACGCGGTACTAACTAGCCGGGCTAATGAGGAGATAGCAGAGGCTGATTGCATTGTAACCTGCTGCCAGGGTCCACACTTCTCCATATTTCCTATATATCCATATAAATATATATACGTATAAATATATATACGTATAAATAATCTACGCTCTATCGGTAGTTTTCGTAATGGCTTACCTGGTTGTAAGAGTTTATTAAGGGAATAAGTGGTCGATAATATCGAGAAAATCCATTGGGTAGTTGTTAAAATCATCCTACGTAATTATCTCTAAGTATATTTCACCCTCTGTGTCAAAATCCTACTAAAACTTAAATTCTTTTAAATTCCATATTAATCCTCATCCTCAGGTGTTCTCAGCCAATGCATATATTTAAGCCAATGCACACTTTTAAGATATCTCTGTAAACCACTCAGTGGCTTACCAAACCCAATATATATATATATATATATATATATATATATATATATATATATATATAGTTGAACTTTTTTTGGGGTTGATACGTTGGAATTCTCGTATACCCATTACTGCCTATAAACTACTCTTTATTTATAATTCTCTTATTTTACAATATATTAAGGACCGTTTAATTTGGGGAACAGTGTACAGGATGTTTCGTAATTACACGGCACTATTTTAGGTATGTGTTCACTAACACAAAATAAAAAAAAAGTTCAACATATACCTCAAACTCATTTATTAAACAGACAACAAAGGTTAAAGATTTATTATTTATTATAATTTTATCTATCAACACTTTTACAAAAGGGTTTTTTGTCTCCTTGAGAGGGAGAGAATCAACTCGAATTTATTATTACTATTTATTTACTATTATTACAGCATTTAGAGTAACTGTTCAAAGGAAATTCCGTTTTGTTGAATGCAACATTTAGCACGAGGAACCCATGCTTCTCTGGAATCCATGCTCTTCTTGTAGCATCTGGATGGTGCTTGATAGTTACACACAGAACTAGACAAACAGATGAGCAACTACTGTCATTGCTTATCGTTCATTTGTTTATTAGGTGATTAAAACATATTATTCAATATAATACACGTTGAACTTTATACAGCCAGCCTTAATGTAGTAAATAAATAATAAATCTTTAACATTTGATATATGTTTAATAAATGAGTTTGAGATATATGTTAATATGAACTTTTTCGTTTATTTTATGTAAGTGAAAACATACCTAAAATAGTGCAGGGCAATTAGGAAACCCCCTTATATTGTATATTTTGGGTTTCTGTGTGCTGCGGCCCGGTGTACGGCTGTGCACCTTTATTGGTGTAACCGATTCTTATCATCCTTTCCAGTCCCGGACTGGAATATTAGCAGACAATACAATACAATATTAGCTAACTCGGTCTGGTCCCCGTTTGGGGCTCTCGGCTGTGGCGATTTATTTATTCATTAAAATAATTAAATGATAATTAATAATAATTATTATTATTAATGACAATAATTTATAATAATAATTCATAAAAATTATTTTTTCTCCTTTCGGTTTCGCAGCTAAGATCATAACTGGATTGGTATTAAGTTATGTAAAAAAAACGGTATCCATTGGTCTTAAAATCTGAAAAATAAAGTTATCGGTCAATATAAAAAGTAAACAAAATTTATTTTGGGGACCCAAGGAAGGGACCCCAAATATTTGCTGAAATAAACGAATACAAAACAATTATTTTGGGGCCGAACATACAACGGTACTAGATAAATACAAAACAATCTTCAGGGTTCTCAAAGAGGGTCCCCCAATCGTTCTACGGTGATAATAGTACAAAATATTTATATTAGGGGCTCATTGGAGAAGTCCCCAAAATTTGAAGACTTTTTTTTTTATTCATTTTGTTGAGGTATAATACATTTCGCCACACTTAAGGGTACTGAGTATTAAAGCTGTAAGGTACATTCATACCATATTTACAATATAACAAAATAAAAAAAATTAAATACATAAAAAAAATAAAAACAAAGAAATATAGCTTATAATGAAATAATACAGAAAATTCATAAGGAAAAAACGAATAAATTAATTAATGATAATAAATTATTATAATTGAGTAAAAATATATAAAAAAACAGTCATACTTAAGAAGAAATCAAAGAATACAAACACTTACTTTTATGATACTAGAAAAATATAGAACATTAAATTTTGAACTCCCTCCTGTTATGGCTGGGCCTGAATATAGGCTTCCCCTAAATAAAACAAAAGATATATTCTTCAATTTTCTATGCTTCTATTAATCCTCTTAATAAGTCAATGTTCAAATAAAAACTATAGATATCTGTCAATTAAGTTTATATTTATAAGTCAATCAATTTTCAATGAAGCCATTTTATAAATAGTCTAAAAATATTTTAAAATAACAAATAATAACCATACGAGAACTATAAATAACGAGTTAGCGACCAGCAATATATCGACCGGGGGAGATACATTAAATTAGAAGGTTGCCTCTCCAATGACCCGGTGCCCTTATCCCCGGGTCAGGAGCGTGATCGGATTGGACGGTGGAATTACAATAAGGGATGGGAGGACAGAGGATGGCAAATGTCAGCGATGGCTATCTCTTGCGCTAGAGCGGTCGTGCCCGCTCCGCGATTTCGGCTATGTCTCAGCTATGGCTGTGGACCTTAACTAGTCTTAATGACACCACTCCTTTCTGGCGATACGGTCAGGTGTCGGCGATGAACAGGGAGTCCGTTCTAAGCAATCCCTTTCCTACATCTACTTCAAATAATGAACGAACATTTACATCAAAAGTCGTATTTAACCTTTTCGACAGAAGTACGAGCTGGTTTTGAACAAACAACTGAAAATACTATACTTCTTTTTTTCCAAATCAAAATTGAAAATCAGACAAAAACTAAATACGTACACTCAAGTACTTAAACCCATACGAACATACGCCTCACAAATTTAGGGTTCTACAAAAAAGACGCACTTACAAAAACTACAATAATTTCAATCCAAAATTTTAAGACTAATAACAGCAGCTGCCTGGTACGTAAACAACAAAACTTTACATACTGACTTAGAACAACCAAGACCAACACTTACGTACTCTCTACTTCCCATTTCATCTGGGACACCATAACGGACTTATCAACGACATGGCCACAGCCGACGTGCCCATCAGGAGACGACTAAAGAGGAGCTGGATGAGAGATCTCCTTTCCTAAATTATGAGGTAGACCAAGACCAGGAAGAGGTACTGCTGGGTACTAATCTTCCTCATGCCTTAAATCCCAACTTTCTATACAATGAGATCACATCTGCTTATTGTCTATACTATGAAAGGTGTCGATAAAAGTATGAAGACAGAAAAAAAATCTTGTATTCATTGTTTTATAATACTATGGAGAAAAAAGATTCATTGTTAAACTGTTATTGTATAATAGGCGGGGATCAAAAGGAATTTCTCAAGTTGAATTCTTTATTTCGCAATGCCGATAAAGAAAATTACCATTAAAAATGTACCAGAAAAACCATACACCATTATTTTTGGTAACTTACAGTTTTTGTAGTTGGTTTGATTTATTATTTCCAATAATCAACCATTGTGACCGACTAAAAAATTCAAAAACTTAACCTCCTCTCAAAATTTGAGGTTTCACGTTTCAGGACGCGTAGAATTCGAAAAACGAATAAAAATTTTCTGTCCATCCGCCGTCCGCCGTCCGCCCATTTTTTCCGAAACTACTGGACCGATTTTTTTCAAATAGTTTTTTTTTAAGTTTACGAAATTTCCTAAAAAACAAAAAAAAATCGGACAATTAGGAGCAAAGATGTGGTCTCGAGTTTTTTTTTATATGTTCTACTCCAAATGTTATATCCTTGATTTGGTTTTTAAATTTTGAATGTATTACTGAACTAATGCTATTTTTTTTTTAACATATTACTAATGATTAAAGAAAAACAGTTTAGTCCAATAATTGGAATCACCTTTTATTTTTGTTTTCTTTGTAACTCGGAAGGTAATGTTACTTTAGACGTATAATTGTTTGGAAATAATAAACCATTGTGAAATAATTTGCAGCGTTTTTTAAAATAATAACTATATTAAAACAATCTCATATGTCCATTAGGGTTTGGTTTAATAATGGTTGCTGATTATCAGCTCTCCAAATCTGCTGAATTCTATCTTGAATATTGTACGCCAGTGTAATATGCAAGAATATTACAATTCCAGACACAGCCCTGAAGTTCAATTTTTTATTTTGCTTGAGAAAGGATTATTAAGTTATTTATTTGGTCCTAATGAGCTGTCCATCAGCGAGCTCTGTTTTGCTCTTGTTCCAGTCCGCCCATCAGCCGGCTAAAGCTCCATAATCACGGAACATTATTTATTTAGAAAGGCCCCAGCCAGCTCGGAGTAGTTTCTCACGCATGTGCCCCCAACATTCCCTGTGGTCCGATAGGAATGGCCGTTATTATGATAGCCCTCCATTGATTATTTTATATTAACAGCTTAAGTCTTCTAAACTATTCAAAATTCAATATTCAATATAAATTTAATTACAATATAAGCAGCCAACATGGCAAGAAAGCCATATAAAACATCAGTGGAATCAATTAATGAAATCCTTCTAGAGGATTACGTTAAAAACATTTAGGAGAATGTGTGAAACATGTGGCAAAACAAGTGGGAACAAAAAGAATCGAAATTAAATCCCACTGTTTAAAATGAGATCTAGAAAAGAGGAGACAGCCCTTTGCAGATTACAAATTGGACATTGTGAGTTCTCGCACTCCTACCTACTAAGACGACTTGATCCTCCGGCCTGCGAGAGCTGCAATGTCCAAAGGATAGTAAAGCACATTATTCAAGACTGCCCTTCATTTGAACCCACAAGGAAAAAATTAGACATGCCATAAAGTCTAAAAGAAAAGCTACAAGACAGTGAAAGTGCAGTCAAAAAAACTTTAAGGTTTCTAAAAGTGATAAAACTCTACAACAGAGTGTAATTTAAAGGTGTTGCCAATGACCCTACAGGGTAGAGGCAACAAAATATCAAATAAATAAATAATTACAATATTCATCTGTAATAAAAGACCTTCTGCCTCTATAACTGTTTCATTGCTCGATTGGTCTAATTATTATCAATCGTCAAGAGGGTTTTCAAAAACATATATACTATACTATACTATACTATACTATACATATATACTAAGAATTCGATTGTTCTTATGAAATTATTTGAAGTTATTTATATACAACTTAAATAGATATGTAGGTTGGGTATATTAGCAAAATTGTAGTGACTAATTCTGTAGACTTTTGATCTTTGATAGATGTAGAGGACCAGCCTTCTCCATCTCTGCCTATCTCGGGCTATTTCTTTTCAGTTATCTGCATGCAGCTCTATTGCGTCTTTGCTGTTTCGATCTATCTTTCTGATTTTTGGACTTCCACGTGGATTTTTGTTTGCTATTGATTTGTTTTTCATTGTTCTATGGAAGCTTGTGATGGATTGCTTTGATCTACATGACCCGATTTGATCTTAATATCCTTGCCTTCATACCATGAGATAATTATTTACCAGTTTCTGTAAGAAGCTCTTTATTACACTTTCTCTTCCATGTGTTTATATTCTAATCTCAGATCGCACTGGTTATCGTGCGGAGGATTCTTTCAAAATATCTTTCTAGGGTGCTTGTTAGTGTCTAGGTCACATAGTACACACTTAATTTGAGATTTTTTGGAATTTTTCGAGGTTTCGATAACTTTGAAAGAGATAAAAATATCTATATATATATATATATATATATAATATATATATATATATATATATATATATATATATATCGTTCGATTGCCAGAAGAGTGCCACAACAATAATAAGACGCGGGATTTTAGAAAAAAAGCGTATAAGAGTTTTTAGATTTATCACTTCCCATAACTCACTTGAATACATCAAGTCGGACAGTTACTTATCAATAAGGCTTTAATTTTTTTTTTTTTAAAATAATTCGTCTCCATTTTTTTATAATTATAAGTCATCATTGGGATAAACATTTAATTTAAAGAAATAAGCGCAAAGTTAAAAAAAAAAAAGAAAAAACACATGCTGGCGGGGTTATAAATTTTTGAAAGGGGCGATAATTTTGTGAGGCTTCGATGCAAAACCACAGGAAAACGAAAAAAAAACATAAAATCTACATTTTTATCATTCTACTCTGACTTTAAGAAGAGGAGAGCTATTAAATTTCTTGCAAGGGGAAGTATGCGCCATTGAGGTTGGGGGATGGACACTCCTAATAGCACACAATTTTGCAATGTTCTCTACCTTTCTTGTTTTACTCGTATCTTCTCAAAAAAATGATCATTCATCGTAATTAGTGTTGCCCAAATGCGAGACCGATACGAGTCTTGGTCTTGCAAACTCAGTCTTGGTCATGGTCTTGGTATTGCGCAAGAGTCTCGCAGCGGTCTTGCAGTTACTTATTAGCTTATTACTATAGAGATATTACTGTAATTTTTTATGTAGGAGAAACCTAACTTTAAAACTTTAAAATATCTTTTATGGCTAAGATTATTTTTTTTTTCTCTTGAGATATTAAGATCTTAAATTGTTATTGTATTATTTTATTCTATTGAGTGTAGTATATCGAGTAAAAATAAATAGAAAAGGCTAACGAAGAAGCTATGTATATTTTTTTCATCATCTGCAGTTCTAATTGTTTTTAAGTAAGGTTATTACATCAATCGACAAATGTTGCCGATATATTTTTTTTATTTTTTCAACAAAAAATAAATAATGGCTTCAAATGCTTTGGAACAAGTTACCTTGTGACATAAATTAATAATGATATCACACAGTTCGCACGCTTGCCTCAGCGCAGCTTAATCTAAATCTCCCAACCGACCCAAGCACCCTCCTCCGATAATTACAGTGCATAAGGATATCCAAAGTGGATGACCTCACCTTGAAGGACCTGGTTCTGGGTAGCCGGCACCTCGGGTCTTCGGCAAGTTCCTTCTATTTCTGGACCGTTCTCAAGGAAGTTACCGGATGCTTCTGTGGTCTTAGTCATTAGATATTTTGCGAATCACTGATTGCCTTGCAATGCTCTATCAATCAATTTAGATTTGTTAGATCTAATGAATCATTATTCTCAGTATTTGTTGAAATAATACATGGGTTGAGAAGATATTTTAACAATCTATACTATACTATGGATCACAGGCGGATCTACGGGGGAGGGGGCGGAGGGCTTTCGTGCTAAAGCCCCCTCCCAAAACGGTAAAATATAACCATGTTTTATAAAAAAAAAAAATTTAATTAATTATCGTTATATATTTGAAAAAAAATCTTTCGGTCTAAATCCCCCCTCCCACAAATTAATCCTGGATCCGCTATTGCTATGGATAGGTTGTTCTAGTATTCGTTTAACCTGAGTATATGTATCATGGTATATCACTGCTCTGTGTGATATATATGCTAAACCACTTAATCAGAGGAATTAGTAAAAGGATGAGATGACGAATTCTAACCTTCAAACCCCTAGAGATAAAACGAAGGTATATAAGTTCGGCTGAAACGTCAATGCAAACAAAACTGTAAATATTCTTTACAGTGTGTTTTATTTTTGTTGATACTCCAGCCGTTATCATCTAGATTTCTACTGCTTTATATCTCCATCTTAATTATAAATTAGTAATAAATTTTAACAGCAAAATTTTAATTTAATATTTTTTATATACTATTCATGATTTCATATTTTAGTGTCAATAAATTAATTATAATTGTCTAAGGCTCAAAAATTGAAAAACTTATTCAATATCCACTAGAATTTATTTATTTTGGACAACAAGAAAATAGATTACCTTATATCTCTTTAAATCTAACTATGTTTACTAATTTAACTCATCTGTATCTAGCATTAGTTGTATTAAATTTTTAACCACATTTCAAATTTTTTTTAAATTATTTATTATCTTCCATCTTGGCAATACGGATTTTTAGAATAACTAACCCATGCCGTTGCTAAAGTTTCTTTTACCAATTCGTCGTTCTTCCAATATGCTATGATGCAAGTAGTAGAGTCCAGTTTGCCTTTACAAAGCGATGAAGATCGCGATCATCAGTTTTCAAAAAGATGCATAGAAGTTTAATATCCTATTTATAAAATCTAAGAAGCTTTTCGAACCGTAGTGCTTTTCTCTCGTAAACATTGTAGCCATAACATGATTTTCCTGAAAAATGAAAAGCCCAATACGCTTCGACTTGCCTTAATTTTCGGCAGTAGCAATCCATTCAAGCAGATGCGGCTGTGTTAGTATTAGAGATTGCATGGTGCAACCCGCACTATCACAGTTTCTGAGGGGCGTATTTTTACGGGGTTTTAAATTTTGGATGAGAACACATGAATTTTCTGTTATGGATTTTCGACTGGACGATAATTTTGTGAGGTTGCAATTTTGCAACCAAAGGAAAACGAAAAAAAACATAAAATCTACATTTTTATCATTCTGCTCTGACTTGCACAGTATTTAAGAAGAGGAGAGCTATTAAATTTCTTGAAAGGGGAAGTATGCGCCATTGGGGTTGGGGGATTGATACTAATGAATAGCACACAATTTAGCAATATTCTCTACCTTTCTTGTTTTACTCGTATCTTCTCAAAAAATGATAATTCATCGTAATAAAGAGATTTTATATGCTAATTTTTAATAGTTTATTTTATTTGCCATAATAAATGTTAAAAGCATATTTTCAATACAATGTATTGCTAAACAAATTTTTTTTTCTTTCAAAATAATTTAGTATTGATGTAATTGAAACAAAGATTAGATAGTCATTGATGACCTTAGGGTTTTACGCCTCCAAGGCCAAAATAACAACAATAATACGCTTTGAGTCTGTATGATGTAAGGTGACTATTTTAAACATATGAAGGAAGTGTCCAAAATATTAAATATTGTAGAACATTCTCTTGGTAAGGAAAAATTCAGAATTCCTTTGTGGGAGAAAAAATCCCAAGAGTGAAAATTGGACTGATGAAAGAAGAGCCAAGCAGTTAGAAAGAATGATTAATTTTTTTTAAAAAATGTACCCTGATTTTTGTTTTTACGTTATAAAGTAAAATAGAGGTTCTTTAACGTACTCAACTGTTATCAAATTGTAATTTTACAATCTCCCAGCAATAAAGTTGGACCATCCACTTCAAAACCAGAGAACAATTCCCTCTAGTTCTTGACGCACCTCGAACCACACTGAACCGTGGGCATACAGCACCCGAAGCCGATAGGATCTTTTCACACCGAAGCCGTGGATGGCCAAATACCCACTGGAGGTTATTATATATTTAGCAGCCTCTATAGCCGCCGAGATCTATAATTACCTGGAGCCTGCTTCTCGAGATCGTCCGGTCCTGATCCTTAGGCCAGTTCTTGCTGGGGCAATTTGTGCCCTCCGATATCGGCATATTGTCCAATCACCACTTCGATCCTCTTATACCCAAATAGGCTTCGAATAGCTACGATAATGTTTGTGGAGAAGACTCAGAACAAGAGAATCCGGTTTCTTTTTTTTTTTTTCGTCTGCTACAGAACTAAAACTGAAATAATCTACAATACATACTCTAATTTTTTTAAAGATACTTTAAACCTGGCCTTTAAAATGGGCCTGTGAGTGTCAACTTTATATCCCAGCAGTTGCAGAAGATAACTAAAAAATAACTTCTTGATAACCCATCTTTACTTAAAAACCCGCAACATATGAAGGCATCGTACTCTATTATCAACAATATTATTTCCTTTTTTGGAACTGTGAATTATTCTTCAAGCTTCGTAGATGTTCATTAATTTCATTATTACGGTTAAAGTTTTTGGTTTATTGTTTTCAGTAATGAACCATTGTGATCGACCAAAAAATTCGAAAACATATTCTCCTCTCAAAATTTGAGGCTTCAGAATACGTAGAATTCGAATTCTTCGAAATTCTTGGACCAATTTTTAGATGTTTATGGGTTTTCAAAAGTTTACGGAATTTCCTAAAAAAACAAAAAAAGATTCGTTAAAATCGGACAATTAGGAGCAAAGATATGGTCTCTAGTTTTTTATATATGTTCTACTGCAAAGGTTATATCCTTTGTTTTGGTTTTTAAATTTTGAATGTGTTACTGAAGTAATCCTATTTTTTTAAGCATATTACTAAAGATTAAAAAAAAAGTTTAGTCTAATAATTGGAATCACCTTTTATTTATTTTTCTTTGTAACTAGGAAGGAAATGTTACTTTAGTTGTATAATTGTGTGGAAATAATAAACCATTGTGAAATAATTTGTAGCGTTTTTTCATTCTAATAAAATAACGATATTGATTCATGATATTATGATGAACTGGTTTTTATAAGGTATTAATTTTTTTTTTAAATTTCTAAGCCCTTTTTTTTACCAATATACTTATAATCTAAAGGAGTGAGAATTCTCAGTAAATCATTAAAAGTCAATATTTATTACGTTGATTTTTATCAAAAAAGATATAAATGTGAATAATTGAGTGATTACCACAAATTTAATATATTATTTGATACGGTAACACAATACCACTCAAATGTAAATGACAGTATTTTGTAAAACTTGTAAGTTGTACGACTTATATGTCAGTTTTTTTTTTAAATTTGGATTTATTTGTTTGATATTTCGATTGAGAATAGCAATGACTGCTTAATGTAGTTTTATTTTTGTTCCTTTACCACCTACCTCGCGATATCTGGCATATAGGAGAGAGAGATTTCAGTACCAGAAGTTTTCCATTGCAACCTTTCAAGTTAAGGTTTTACAGAACTTTTATTTTTATAAAACTTTTATTTAAAAATTCACCAAAAATTATTTTCATTCTTAACTACTTAAACAAACGTCATATTAGAATCAAGTAATTCATTTAAGGTATATTTAACTTTTTTTTTTATGATGTAGAGATGGTTGACCGTGATATAATATGAGGAGTTGATCGGGGTGGTGCGGTCAAATAAATACTAAACTATAGAAATATTATTATTTAATTATAATGCCGACGTTTCGACCCACAGTCTTCAAGACCTGCAAGGTGGGTCGAAACGTCGGAATTATAATTAAATAATAATAATATTTCTATAATTTAGTATTTATTTGATCGCACCCCCCCCCGATCAATTCCTTCTCATATTTTTTTTTTATAACTTAAATAAATAAAAGTTAAACTTCTAAAAAAAAAAAAAACCTAGAACTCTATTATTAAAACAAGTTCTTTAAAACATTTATTTTAAGAACATTTTTATAACATATTTCATAAATACTGTTATTCCCATGCTGTTCAGATTCAAGAATATCTCAGGTAAGTTATGTTCATCCGTGATAATGGGCGGAAGTGAGAGTATAAACCTGAATACCCTTTCGCTAAAAGGGTAATTGAACATAACAATTACTCAACCCCCCCCACTCCACAATTATCAACTCAATGTCGGTATATCAACCTTGAGCCTCTCATTGACTATAACAATCAGTGTTGGCCTACAAAAAGAAAGATCGCTTTGAGGCCAGTTAGAGCAATTAGATGGTCCTCCATTACTAGCAATTACTAAAGACGGTCATTTATTAAGACTAATTCGATACGTGGGTTGAATCCTGAGCCCTGTGATATACCACCTGTTCCAGACCGCATTGTTCTAATCTAGCAAGCAGGGTGTAGTTGTTCTCTACCTATATAGCCACCTTTTTGCCATTAATATTATTAACGCAATGCATTTTATTGTCTGTTTATGAATCTCATTAAAACTATAACAGATAAGTAACTATTTTCTTTCTACAAATTCTATGGTTTGTGAAGTTATTAATGTCATCTGCTGATTTCTACTAAATATACTTTATCAAGTGATTTTTTAACACGGTATTTATATTCCTATGAAAACTTAATGACCATCGACTTCTAAATCAGAGAAGGATTCTCTTCAGTTCTTGGTGTACCTAGAAACGCACAAAAACCTGGGCATACGCAGCGTCCGCGGCCGATTATAATTGTTTGTCGCTTCACTGAAACACAAGTTTTTCTTTCCATTTGCGAACAGCTTCGAAAATTTTTGCAGTTAAAACTTTACCATTTTAACCAAGAAAAATGTAGATTATGAACGATAACATTTCCATTTCCCATTTAGTTTAATTTTATTTGTTTCTATTTTGCAGAATCATTATCAACATCTTAAACCACGTTAAAGAGTTTCACTGTTTTCAAAAACGTTTAATTAACGAAAGTTTAATTTTCTTTCATTTAAAATTCGTTTTCATATCTGGTGCCAGAACCAATGTTTTCCTAATGGTTGATTTCCAGTCCTCATAGGGTGGAGATTCAAGTCCTCTCTATAAATAAACATTTGGAAACTAACAATGCCCAATCCTTAATCAGAAGAAGACAGTGGGCTTTTATTTCCATTAATTTATATTCTTTTAGTTCTCATTTATTCTGCCACATTTTCCTTCTTCATTTTTTTTTTTTTGTTTATTTATTTGATTTATTGAGTTTTACAACAATCTGTCACATGGACACTAGTTACAGTGAGGTAGGATAACATTCACACTATATGTATAAAATATATAAAATAAATATAAGCAAAATAACAATCCCGGTTCCGAGAGAGTCTTTTAAATCCCCGCCCACACTCCCTGGCCCGGGAGAACCCCGTATAACCTTAAAGGCGAGGAAGGGGAGGAGCCAAAAAAAAAAAAATGAGTGAAGAATCTGGCCATTGCTAGAACTCCAATATATACAATCTACAAAAGATCGCGAGGCCACTGCCGTTTCAACCTTCTTGGGGAATTACAGGAATGGGTGGTGCTTGATAGGGATTGTGCAAGAGGATTTGGATGATACGTAAGGTTCTGGTGAAATTAGGAGAAATTTTCTGGGATAAGGTCTAGGACAAATTCTTCCAACAGGACTTCATTAACTGATACAACCGGAGTTGTTCTTGGTTTTCTTGCTCTATTGGCTGTTTGGTCGACTTGTAAAGAGATGTCCAGTGAAGGGATAAGCGATATCCTAAAGAACATAATTTCTTTAGCTTCTCTTTTAGTAGCCACAAAATGTTTCTTATTGTTCTCACCAATGTACCATAGTTTTTGGTCTGGTGTTTTGTATGCCTACTATTGCACTTATCAATATCGTTAACACAGCCCAATTGGTTCTCTCAGTTGGCTCAAGGTATATTAGTTCTTCTCTTATCGCTACCATTCCTCCAGTAGAAATCGAGCAAAGTTCGGAATTTACCAATTAAACTCTTTGTTATTCTCTTCCTCCTAAAAATAATTTTTGCACTTCAACCGAATGTGCCATATCTTTTTTACATCTATCGATCGAGATATCTGGCAGGACATGCATCCATCGGTATATTATATGCAATATCCCAAATATATTCTAATTTTAGTAATGACATTTTTTCGAGAAGTGCTCCTAAAAAATTGTCTCTCTTCTATTCCTGCTTCAACTCTACGGAGTCATATTTATTCAATATATGTTTTAGATTTTATCTTCATTTTGAGCCCATATTTCATAGACAGAAATAACCTTTTCAAATATTATTTGTAATAGCTGCTATAATTTTCAATAAATGGCTTCTCTTTTTTTGTGCTTTTTAAGAAAAGACAGAGTAGTGGTAATATAAAAGATACGAGGCTATTTAAGATCGTTACTAACTAATCAATAAAGGTAGGTTGGCCCCGCCCCCAGGTAGATGTGTTTTTAATTACTAACCCTGTCACACCCCCTTCCCCCATTCCCACAATTCTTATTGTTATTCTTTGTAGTGTTTTTGCTGTTTAAATCAGATTTTTTTGTCAATTAATTTCTAACTAACTACAGTTCCGAACAACTGACTATTAAAGATAAGCGTTCAATTAAAACCAATCAACCACATAACGTGTTAAGGTAAAAAAAGCTCTAATTTTCTCATTTATACTTATTATTTACATTATTATTATCTATTTAGAGGGACGGGATACTGCTCTTATCCATGATCACTATCTTTCAGGAAAAAAAGTGTTTTCTATTTGTCATTATTTCATTTTAACAGAAATATTTAATAATATTTATTTCTACGATCTTTCTAAAGTTACGATGGGTTCAAAACTATATTTGCGAATAACTCAAAAAGTACACAATTTTTGTTTGATTATACTTATGGTTATTTAAAATCTTTCTTAATTTCGGTGCAGAGACATGATGTTTTAAATATTTAATACTTGTTCTTCAGAGATTTAGAGAAGAACAGCTTCTCACATCGACAATTTGGAAAACCAGGCAATTTCTAGATCTATACAAAGAATGGAAACAACAAAAAATATTGTATATCCACAAGTATTGTGAAATAAAATATATTAAAACATCAACGCGAGACACAGCTACGTGGGTACAGCTAGTATATATATATATATATATATATATATATTAAGCATTATTTGTAAAGAGTACTTGGATGTCATGTAGTTATTTTTTTCTGTCTTGGTTACGCCTGAATTTGGAAAACATCATTGGGTTGGATCTTTCAAAATATAATCTAACATTTTTTATTTCTCAGAATAGAATTAATCAACCTATAAAAAAAAATATTTTACTTTAATAATAATATTACTTTAACTATAATATTTTTACATCAATACAAATATGCTTTAAATAGTATACATTTTAATTCTTGAATATATAGTATGGCGACACGATTAACATAGGAACTCAGTAAATGAATTGAAGTCAACTGTGAGTTGGTACCGCGTTTGAGATTATCTGATTTAGGGAACCATTCTTGATGTTCTAACGAGTAGTGCTGAACGATTAAACTGGTTCCAACTAGATCTTTACAAATATACTTCGTACAGAAGGGCAGGAGATGGTACAAGGAGTACCTCTTGTGGGACACCCTGCTCGCACTAACCAGAACACAGGGGATCGAATCCTGATGTGATGTTGCTTATGTTGCAGTCACCCAGTCGGAACAGGACAGGTCCTGCATCCTCCTGGTGAGGGTCCAGCGGCGGTCGGGGGATTGGCTCTGGGTCCACACCGTCCTCCAGGTGAAGGAGAACCTCGAGAACAGCCAGCAGCCACTCATCGTTGCCACCAACCAGGTCCTCAGGTATGTTCAACCTCAATATCTTTTATAGTAATTGATTATTACAGTATTATAGTATAGTATTATTATAGTAAGTGACCTTATTCCCAATTAAATGGTTATATATATATATATATATATATATATATATATATATATATGTAATGAATTAATAACTACTTAATAAAATAAATACGGTAAAACAACGGTAGTAAATTAATTCCATATTTTTCACATCGAGGTCCTCTATTAAAATGATTTTCCCTCCACTCCTGTTTTAATTCTGTCTACCATCCATTTTTATTTATTTGTTCGAACTATTCATTCATTATTCATTGTTATACCTAATAACCTACAATAAATATCTGACATAGGCTTGGACAAAAATGGTTTAATTATTATCTTTAAATATAACATTATATACAAAATACTTAATATATATATACATTTTGTTACAGTGTATTTTAGTCACCAAATATTTAAATTATTTACATTATTAAATTAGAAAGTATAAACATAGCTCTTTTCTTTTTTCAAAATAAAATATAGTTAAGAATGTATTTTACATTTTATTTCTTAAATTTGTAAATTAAAAAAAAAAACAGATATTTCTTCTGTATTTTAAAATATTTAATTTTAAATGTCCGATCTGAATACTATAATTAAATTTTCATTCTATGACACCCCAATGTCCTTATCACTTTTATTTACGTCATTCATTTTTTATTATTGCTGCTTTTGACAAACTAAGTCTGCTGAGTTTTATGATTATATCAAAATATATATCAAAATTTTACGATACACTATTTATTACATTTTCAAACAAGTTTATGTATTATATCTAAAGTTTTTAGTTTTCAGGATGTACATGTTTTTTTTTTTATTTCTTAAATATTCGTTAAAACTTTGTTTATTTCTTCAATAGTCCTAAGGGAGATATTTATTTTCTGAGGCATATAAGTAAGATTTCTTAACAGTATTTATTCTCCTAAAACAATTATTCTTTATTATATTATGACGTTTCGGGATCTACTTTCATATCCCATCTTCATAGTAGAAATTAGAATATTATCGTTATTTATATATTTATACAATCAATATAATATTTTTATATAACTTTAAACAACAATAACAAAATTTTGTCAATCTTACTAGTATCTTCACTCTATATCCTCTTATTTTTAAAAGATTTGTCATAATTATTTATTTTAATTTTTTATTGTCATATTTCATTCCTAAAACGCAATGATCCTATGTTTTTATTTATTTTATTATTAAAATTTTATGTATTTAACTAGTTTCTATAACTAACTTTGTTTATATTTTATTAGTTTCAATGAAAAGATAATTATTAGTATTTTTAATTTTTTGTACAGAAAGCTCAAATAATTATTTTATCTATCCTGTAAGAAATGAATATTATTTTTGGATAATCAGTGTTGAAGAAATAATAGTATGGTAAAAATTATTTCTGTGATGGATTTTTTTCCGTTGGGAGATTATTCAATAAAAATATGTTGTTATTATGACGTTTTAGAAATGTTTGTCCTACATTGCCAAAATAAGACACAGCATTCAATTCCACTCATTAAAATTACAGGGTTTTATTTTACAATCCCAACAAGTATCTTAATCTTGATAATGGAAAGAGAAATAAAACTGTTGCTTGTAATCCGATCATAATATTACATGCTCATGAAACAACATAATTTTCTATGATTGAGATTTTACCTGACAGAAATATCTGTTTTAATAAATGACTAGACCAAAAGTTAATAAGGATATTAACACCGACCTTATCGGTTCTTTAACAACATTTCACTTCAAAAATAAAAAACCTAGGAGAACGCCCGGACTCAGAAGTGTTGGATGAAATAGATAAATTGGGCCGATAGACAATAAATATTGCCAATTTAAGGCGCGAATATGATTTCGGTCTGTTACGATAGCTATCTGGAAGTATCGATATTCGAACATGAAATTATAACATTCCTGGAGCCGCTAAAGCAGCCAATAGCAGTTAATTACCTCTCCAGGAGATGGACTTTAATTATGCTTTCGATTGGGCAGGTCGATTACCTGGAAGTGTAGTCGATATCTGAAGGGCTAATGAGGCCTTCGCACACCTCATCGATAGATTCCCTTATGTTTAGAGCTAATTGTAAATATGTACGTTTGTACGTTTTTATATAATATCACATCAAATATTCTGTTGTGCTCAAAAGGGTCAACAAAGAAATCTGTTTAAGATTTTTGTTCATCTATCTCAAGAAATAACTTTTTTTCGAATAAAGACAACAAAGATATCTTTAAATCAATCTTCTTCCTATTTTTTGTAATATTGATTTGGTGTCTGAAATCGCACTTACTTATTTCATTTTTTATATAAAATATGATGTTTTTTTTCTATAAAAATGTATTTGCGCCTATAAAGTTTTTTTTTTTTTAAGTTACCATAGGAAACTATATAAAACATAAAACAAACAATAAACAATTAAGAAACAAGTGTTTTATCATCCTCGGATATAAAAGCTAAGAAACAAGATAAAGGCTGTAATTAACGATGGTTAGAAGCTATTCCAGGACTGAGGACAAAGGAATTATTAAAAGAAGGAAAGCTTTACAACCATTAATTAAATTGCAACACATCCAAAGGGATGAGGAAGAACATAAAACTAATAAAGCGTGTTGCGCATAAAGAAATTTGTACTTATTATGAATCATTATTGAGTAATTCTCTTATACTCTATTATCTATAAATGGACTAAATAGTATATTCTGTCTTTATGTAGCCTTCAAATTTAAAAATTGTACCATAGACATATATCGTACTTCGAAAAGAACGATAAATAAAACTTCAAAATAAATAAAACCAGTAGTGAGTTTATACTTTTTATTAAAATCCAAAATAGTCAAATAAAGCAACGATTATCACTTTCTATTTTCTTTATACATCATTTTTCTGTGCAAATAATATAACACTGAAGCTCTGCTCAGAAGATAAATTTTCCTCATAACCTTATAATGGTTACCTAGGACTCCACCTGGACAAACGTCTAACTTGGAATCTTCATACTAGAGTGAAACGACAAGAAACAGCTCGACGTTTCCGACTACTTCAACACTTACTAGACAAACGCTCTAACCTTCCAATTAATTACAAAAGACTCATTTACATGACTATAATAAGGCCTATTGGGACTTACGGAGTTGAGCTATGGGGCTCTCTCCAACCTTCAAATTCCTCTCGTTTCCAATCCTTACAATCCATAATCCTTCGTAAAATCCTCAATGCTCCTTACTTTGTTACAAATAAAATCATCCATAATGACCTTAATGTTCCTTATGTATCAGATTTGGCCCAATCCAGATATCTGTCCTTCCATAATAAACATCATAACCATCCCAATCCTCTTGTTTCTAACCTTGCTTCCTATTACTGATAACCCTCCGAGGCGTCTGAAAAGAAGATGGCCACGTGATTTCTAATATAGACATATTATTACCAATGGGTAGTTTCTCAACATGTGTTCCATGTCATTATATCCATGTGCGAATTTACTAGATGTATTTTTTGTATACAGTTGTAAATATCATATAAATAAATAAAAAAAATTAATTTAAAAACCTTATAATGAGAGAATCAGTATTATATAAAATAATGTAACAAAGGAAAATTAGCCCAAATTATTTTTTATTCTGTTGTACATTTTGTATACTATAAAGTAGGGTTTCTACACTTGAAAATGGCCAAAAGAGCTGAAATGTTGAGTAAAAAAAAATAAAGTAGGACTACAAGATCAAGTGTATTTGTATATCATTAAAAATATAATTGAAGTCTTAACTAATAATATTAAAAGAAATGTTTATTTATGAAAAAAAAATATTTGTTTAAATAAAAAAAGTATCAAGTGCGTTTGTTAATTATTGGGAAACAAAATGTTTACGGAAAATATAAAGAAAAAACATTTTTATTGTTATTATTGATTCTTTTTTATTTACTTTCCCTAGTCCATCACAGTTCTTGAATTTCGATCCATACGACATACTACAGATGTTATTCTAGACACGACTATGGATGTGTACTATCCTGTGAATATTGACAGCGGTCTGGAGCCATTGTTGCCAAGATATCCTTCCCATATTTCTGGATCGACTCCCAAACGAGGTGCTCCCGCCTAACTGGATACTTGCCCTTATTTGCCTCTCCAAGCTGTTCCAGAACCAAAACAGGACACTCAGGCTATAACCCTTCCTCTTCGATTGTCCTCCTCATCTGAATTTCTACCTTCAGTTGTCAAACTGCCATATTCCTCGATAACCAGCATAATAAATTTGTCGTCTTAGCTCTTTGCATCCATCAAACGGCTGTCGATTCTTAGCAAGCTTTTTTATAATATATATTTATTTATTTACTTTTCCTCTTTGGTATACATCATACCTTCCTCGAAACTCTAAATTATTGTAAATAGTTACTATTATACTATCAACCCCATCATTATTACCCCCAACTTAAAAGAAGGTCTCTATTCACATCATCCACGACGCGGTGCCATTGACATAGGGACATTAATGGCAGGAGGCCATCAGGTTCTTCGCCGCATACCTCTCCACCGAGACAGTTCTAATCGCCTGTAAAGTGCACCGTAATCACCTGGTAATGGAGAGGCAAGAACCGCTGATTGCAGCTCATGAGGACGGCATCAATGAAACCTCGACTTCTTTCTTTTCTGGCCCCGCTCCCATTCATCGGATTAAAAGGACCTCTCCTCTAATAGAGACGCAGGAGCTGCAACAATGGCGGTGTCAGAGTGTACCTGAAGCCGTGGGAACAGGCCTGACGAATGGTCCGACACTAACTGTTGATAAACTCTAAGCCTGCCCACGATTAACGATCTCACATAGCCTCCCATCTTCGTAATAAACAATGATAATCAAAGATTTCAGCTGAATCTTAAGATGGCTCTTTACGTCCACGGTAGAATCTTGACATGATGTAATACAAATTCTAATTATCTCATGTTTCCACTGCTCAAATGTGAAAATAAAAAAAATATTTGCCTATAAAATTTTAAAGGAAAATTATCTTATATGAGGATTAACTAAAAAGTATTATTGAAGAGTTTGTTTATACTGTATTAGTGTAACGTATTTCATTGGTCAAACTTATCATTTTATTATCTTCATCTTTAAAACCACCTAAAACCCATTGAATTTAAAAATAAGAGTTAAAAGGAGAAGCTTAAAATGAAAAAAACACTTTTTTTTAAACATATGATATAACTGAAGTTTTTTCCTATTATTTCAGAAATAAAAAAATTTTTCCATAGGAAGTCCAAAAAGACGATCTAAAGAACAATAACCAAACAATACTTTCTCAGCTACTCAATAAACGTAGTTTTCAAAATAAAAACATAAAATTTTCATATTTAATTTTATACAAAAAAAAAAAATCATTTGATATTGCAAGAAACATACCAAAACCATCGAATTTTATTTTGAATAAAAATAATACCTATCATTAAATTTTCTATTTTACTACCCTCATATAACTGGTACTTCAGACATTCTAGCAGAATAGTAAATAGTATGCGAATTTATTCTCAAAACACTTTTGTTATTTACTAGAACAAGTTGTTCAGAAAGGCTTTAATCTAATTTTTCTAAATATTATTCCTTCCAGAAAAAAAAAAAAATTTTATGTAATAAAAATCTAACGTTGGAATATATAATTGTTTTCTTACAGAAAATGTTTTTATAGTTTAAATTTGTTTTTCGGAAAAAAAACTAAATTGATGTATTATTATATTATTCTCAGGAATGACTTCATGAAAATTCTTTTATTTGTTTAAATCTAACTTCCTTTATGCTCCGGTATGGTATTGGAGTGAGATATGCTATTTTCATGTGTTAAGTCTGCATTAGAAATTTATGATACAAGAATCATTGAATTCCGAGCTAACAAATTATTTTTTTAGGCTTGGATTAAGTCATGTGATCCAGGCGAGCGTTGCAGTATTTTAGTTTATCATCGCTGCAGCAATTTTTTAATATTTTCCTGTAGGTGTGGGAATAGGACGAAGTTATTCCTTTTGGGATGTCGTTAATTTAAACACCATTAGTGGGGCAAGAAGAAAATCGTCGACTCATCAGAATTCAATAACGCTGATGGGTTGACAATATGGGAAGCTAACGATTGGAGCCTCAGTAGAGTCTTATAATTCGACATATTGAATAATTTGAGGATTAAATGATTTTTCTAAGTTACTCAGAAGGAATCATGAAATTAAGAATAATAAAATATAAACAATATATTGTAAACATGTTAATTTTTAATATTTTTTGCGGGTGTTGAAGTTAATACATACATTGTTTTTTAATTTTGGCCAAACAGTTCCATGCTGGTGGAGTTTGGATTCGTACCTTTCTATACCAAATAACCGAGAACTAGAAAGTAGTACCTTTGATCATTTGTTCTCAAATGATATGTTATCAATCGTTGAGTATGAAGGATGGAGAGAAGAATAGTTGGGGTGATCAGTCAAATAAGAAGGCAAAAATAAATTATAATATGTATTTTGACATTTGCCGACGTTTCGACCTGAAGTTCAGGCCTTCATCAGGGCTGAGAAAAGAACCAGATAACAAGGTATGAGAAACATAAGTAGTGTAGGTAAAAAAAATTAAATTAAAATGCAGTTGTTACAATAATGACAATGTTAAGAACTAAGAGATAAATAATAATAACCGGTACAAAGTGTAGAATGATGAAGTAAACATAATCAAAAAAGGTGACATAAGTATTAAAATGGGAATCTTAGAATAAAATGTAAAACAGAAAAAAGAAATATGAAGTTATATAAGAAATGGAAATAAATAGTAAACTTAAAATATTGCGAATAGAATAGTTAAATAGAAAATTGAAATATTGTAAAGTCTATCAAGATGTACAGACAACGTATAATATAATAAAGAGTTAAAACAGAGAAAAGGATTGAAAGGATGAAAGGAGGATTGGGTTGAGTATGAAAGATTGAATCTTTAGTTTCTGAAACAACCAATGAAGTTTGTTTGCAAAAAGTATTGCACAACTTATTAAGATAATTAACTAAGTTTTTCATCTCAATACCTAAATACCAAAACCAACCCCATATTTCTGATGGAATATCTTCAGAAAGGGTGGCTAACTATTAACTAAGGCAGCAAAATAGTTAAATTTCCTACTTTTCTGCTGGATATTGGGCAATTTTTTTAATCTTTTCCTCTACTTACGTAACACCCTATATATATATATATATATATAATATATATATATATATATATATATACAGTTATAAATTATAATTATGTACAAATATTAATGATGATATAAATAAAAGTATGATTTTCTAAACATCAGTTTATTAAAGAGAATGATTAATAGATAGTTAAATGAATAGATATAGATAAATAAATGAGCCGACTTTGTGAAGTTTGCAGTATGAAGATTTTGCTTATTTATTTCAATAAATGGAAACATTATAATAGTTATTTGTTTTCAATAAATTGTTGTCCAAGAAGTTGATATAACGCCTATTAAGTGGCAAAAATTTTAGATCCTAGCAATGCATCGTCTGGAAGTATAATATCCTATATATTTGACTTACAATATTGTTCTTAGTTGTAGGAACAATTAAGGAAAGTGATCAAAAATATTTTTTTTCATGTAACTTAGAGATTTGAATTTCGAAATCGCTTGGTGAAAAGAGAATTAGATGTTTTTCTTAATGAGCTCCGTTTCTTTTTTGCAGGAAAACCAAAAATGTTAGTTTCAATTTTATTCATCTAAATATGTTCTAGCTAATAACCAAATCGATAGCATATTATCTCCCAAATCATAGCTAATAATTCATTTTTTTCTTGTTTGAGTTGTATTCTCTATTTACGTGTTTATTATTTTAATAGGTAAGTAAAAATATATCTTTTTAAATACTTAACAATACCGAATACTCGAATACAGAAAAGCCCCATTGCTAAGAAATCATTATTAATTTTGATAGCGAAAAAGCTGATATACGACTTTAAAAGTATGTTTTCCCATCCTAAACTCCTCTTTGTGAAACCTAGAGGTCATGATCCCAATTTTAACAAACTTCGGCTCGAAGCCGCGGAACCTTCCTGACTCCACCCGTCGCTATTCTTCCTGTTTCCATAAACGGAGACTTTCTAATAAGAAGAAAAAAAATGTTTGCTGTAATTTTCTATACACAGAAATAAAAATTACCAATATATACAATTATAGTTCTGCGTTTAACGAGGCGGTGATTGCATTTAAAAGCCTTGAGAAAAGCGTTAATGAGGTGATATTATAAGTCCCTAATAGGACATTATTGGTTTATGAATCACACCTTTTTTTTTACCTTCCTACCTATACTAGGTAAGGAAAGTATTGCAATCGGGTAAAAATTTCCAACATGCGGTTTTCGGCGGATCTATACGTTTCAGAGCCCCTGTGTCCGAAAAACACATTTTTAGCCATTGGTCTGTCTGTCTGTGCCAAGATTTTCTCGTTAACTACTGAACCGATTTTGTTGCTTCTTTTTTTATTTTGTAGGGTTTTGACTACTGATGCCTGTGACAGAAATTCGGTGCTCCATGCGCAATAGCTTGCACGCAATAAATGAAAACCTGTTTTTATATAGACTGTAGCGCAAAAACGGCTCTAACGATTTTGATGAAACTTTCTATAATGTTCATGTCTAATCATTGTTCTTTCAATTTTCATATGTAGACTAAATTCCCGAAAAAAATTAGGAAAAAAGTTATAAAAAAAAAGAAAAATGTTATATGGCCTAACTCCTTAAGTATATATTATACGGAACAATTTATAATAAAACCTTTGAAAGGTAATTAAATTACCAAAAAAACAAAAAAAACATCATCGGAATCGAACCAGTATTAGCGATGATACAGCTTATTCTATTGTTTACACATTTTTTTAACTTATTACTTTCCTACCTATACTATTTAAGGAAAGTCGGATCATTTTAGCCTGTCGTTTGAAAGGTAATGAAATTCCCTACAAAGCCATATAAAAATCGTTCATTTTGGACAACTATTAACGAAGTTACAGCTATTCAATTTCCAATGTAAGATTACGGTTTCATATCCTGCTGTCAGAAATGAGTGAATGAGAGAATAAAGATGACTAAGTGAAAGTAAGAAAATCTGTTGCCCGCATCACACAATCTTCACTATTTCCTCTACTTTTAACAGAAATTATTGTTTGACAATACTAAGCTATGGCAAAAAGTTTTGGATCAGCAATATTAGGAAGTATTGAAATTTTTACACTGATCTACCTTAAGCCGGTTTACACTGCTTTAGTTTATCAAATAAATCGTACTCAAATCTTATGTTTGATCAATTTTCAGGAAAATGTATCTAGTTCAATTCTTATTTGTTTCTTCATGAACATATGTAAAGATATAAAAACTTTTCTAAAATAGGTAGGAAAGTCGTGTGAGTGCACACACCAGATATTTTAAAATGAGAATTTATTATATAACAGATACTTACAATTAAATTTAATAGCCAATAAATAAAGATGTACACACTGATTAGAGAGTCACAGGATTTTGAATGGAATATTATTCAGTATTAGCTTAATCATTTTTCGGAAAATACTAATAAAGATTAATTTTGAAGCATTAAATAATTAGCGTCATGCTGTCCAGCCACATTATCATTGTCTCTTACTTACAAAGCAGTTTAATACATGTGACAGTGGTGCAATCTCTGATCCACTAACAGACACTAGCGAAGCCATGATTTAATTTTGGGGGCAGAAACCCGAATGATTTTTTTTTCATATACATAAAACGATAATTAATTTGAAAAAAAAAAGAAATTAACTACCTATATGAAATGGTGTTTAAGTGGTTCTTGAAGCCCTATTAAATGTAATTAAACGAACAAGAATACTTGAAGAGATAGTTTTTAATATTTTTTTCTGTAAAACATGATTATATTTTACCATTTTGGTAGGGGCTTCAGCCCGAAAGCCCCTCCAACCCTCCCCCGTAGATCCGCCTGTGCTAACAGAGGTTAAACTTCCATCACTGCTCCATAGTAATTCTTTGACATACAACTAACATAGAATAATATTTATGGCATAGTTGATTAATTAGCTTTTGTTTGCCTTAAATTAATTTCAATATATTATTTACGAGAAAAACTTCCCGGTTATTTTCTTCTTATGAAGTCACAGGCACGTCGATTGGATGGTAATATTTTATAAAGTGTCATAGAATTCGAAAGCACATCAATAAAATATCAAGGGACAGTATTATATTTCAGTGAAATATCTATACAAAAATATCAACGTTTTATCAAATGAATCCATCTGTCCAAACTCATATTTAAGTCTTGAAACGTCCACTTCCGTTTCTCCTTTCAGATGTCGCTCAGAGGTAGTGTTGCTCAAAATTGGTCTTGGTCTTGCATAGTGCAACACCGCTTATCTCTTGCAAGACCAAGACCAAGACTGGTAAAAAAAATCGATTTTTTGATTAAAAATTGAGACAAAATAGTTACTATTACTTCATAATTTTATTTACTGTATGTAAAGAATTGGTATAACCAATATACTTTTGCATTTAACTCTTCTAATTTTTCATTCAGACTTAGTTAAATTTCTCATATGTAAAAAATCACAGTAATATCTCTCTAGTAATAAGCAAATAGGTAACTGCAAGACTGTTACGAGAGTCTTGCGCAAGGCCAAGACCTTGACCAAGACTGAGTTTGCAAGACCAAGACTCGTCTCGGTCTCGCATTTGGAGCAACACTACTCAGAGGATAGGATAGGCGTCAGTGAAAGTGCCAAAAGCTCCAGATATTATTCAATACCCCGTGAAATATGTTTAGAAAGCTATGAGCTAAAACGCGACACGGTCGAGTGGCCAAGGCATCTTCCATCTCGGACACGACTTCGTATCTTCGCTCTTGTTTCGGCGCTTCCTCCCCGGCCATATCTCGGGGCCACCCGCCGGGTCATCGGCGAACCTCCGGATGTCTTGCCGGTCGGATATCACCCTGAGACTTGCGAAGTATGGTCAGCTAGTAACTGCAATAAAATCGTGCGAAATACTATCGCTCGTAAACCGTATTATTAACAAAAGCAATATTTTAAAATTTTCCTATTCAAGTTTAGATTAGAACAGATTAGTAATATTCGTAAAATATACCAGAATATAAAAGCTTTCGTAATGTACTCTTTACATTCATTAATAAGAAAAATATTCAAGATAAACTACAAAAATGGAATGTGTAGAATCTAACCTATGACCAATATAGTACCAGGGAAATTATCACTCCAATAAAATATAAATCGTGTATACATATTAATAACAATGTATACATCCTCTGGAAAACAAGCAGACTTTTAGTTACTTAGAAACTTTAAAATAAAAATATCCAACAGTTCCAGAAATACGTAAAACTTTTAAATAGCAAAAACACTACAAAACTACGAGTACATGAACAAATGAACAAAAGAGATATGGACTGGTGGAGGAGCTGCAGTTGGCTTAGAATCGGGAGTTGTGGATTCGGTTCTATAAGATGGGTGCTCACACCGCTCAGCGGTAGAAGAGGAAACTATTATGAAGAAGAAGATAAACAAATGATAGAAAATTATGCTCTTTCAAAGCTGTATGTTTTTTTTTAAATCATAGAAATATTATAATCGAATGAAATTTGAAGAAGGTTGTTAGGTTGTTGTAATAACATGTTTATGTTTTATTTGTTTTCGAATCAACATCAAAACTTAATACTGTTCCTTTGTTAAAAAAAAAAAAAAAAAAAAACCTTCCAAACTGTTTGATTATGAACTTACCTGAATGGACTCTCGCGCAACTTTTATTTACGATATGTTCATATATTTTGATAAATTAAAGGACGGGATGACCGAGCACATTGGGACCTGGGTTTCATAGTGTTCGTTGTGGGTTTGATTCCCAACTGGGTCGGTTAATTTTCATTTCACGGAGACCCTGGAAAATGAATCTTGACGTTACCATCTTGGTAAGTACGCGGCGGCAACCTCAATGTTGGCAAAATAGACCATGTGGCCCACTTGCCAGACTAGTATTGTAGCAGTATTGTACAGTAATATTTTGATAGAATCATTCTCACCGTATCCATTATTCGTTACTCATAGTTTTTTCTCATCCTCAACATACTTTTTCTAACCGTAGTTACCTTATTCCTTCTCTTCTCAAATATTTCTCATCACTTTAACTGCAAATATCAGATTAACGACGATCTCTCTGATCAATTTTGGGCTATGATAGGATTGAATTCTTGTATCTTCCCTATTTAACAGGTAAGAAGCGTAAAAAATATCTTTGATAATTGACAAAACTTTATTTATTTTTTATCTAGGCTCCAGTAACATATATTTTGTTTAATTCCTTCTCATATTAAACTTTCTTGAAACTCCCTGCTCTACTTATAATAACCCAATATTTGCTTTCTTAAATCTCTTGATTTTCCTAGGTCTGATATATACTGTTAATTTTTTATTTATTTATTTATACATATAATATTCTGTCACGGGGACAATGATTATATTGATAAATGAACACATTCACACAGTATATAAAAAAAAATTAACAAAAGTAAAATAATAAATAAAAACTATGTACAATAAAAAAATAAAATAACATTAATTCAAATAAGTAAATTAAAAACATAAAAATACAGTCATGCCTATATACAATCAGGCAGGGAACCCAAATCCCTGCGCTTCTCTCTCAACCGCCTCACCGCTAAAGCCGGTGAAGTTTGAGAGAGAGCGCTTTAGCCAGATACATTCATGTCTTGAGTGGAGAATCTGGCCATTGCCAGAACTCCAAAATAAATACTATAAAAGATCTCTGGGCCACTGCCGCTTCAACCTTCGAGGAGGGTTGCAGAGATGAGTGGAACTAGATGATTGATAAGGTTATGATGGAATTTTGAAAATTTTTCAGAGATAAGGTCAAGGACAAATGGGATATTAAGGTCATGATGTAGGGTTTTGTTGGTTACATAGAACGGAGCATCGACTATTGTTCGGAGGACTTTGGATTGAAAGGATTGGATGCGTTTGATGTTAGAGAATTTTGCTGTTCCCCAAAGTTCAAGTCCGTAGGTCCAAATAGGTTTCAGGATTGTATTGTAGATTAGTAATGTGTTGTCAATTGAAAGTTTTTCTGGTCAGTAGTCTGTATAATTGGCCGTATCGTTGGTTAAGTCCTTGTCTTTTAAGTCTAGAATTTGGGTTCCACGTTAGTCTTCGGTCTAAGATAAAGACAAGATACCGGACTGTGTCTGAAAAAGGAAGCTGGATGGAATTAAAGTGGACTGATGGACAGGATCTGCGGCGGAGTGTGAAGGTAATGTGTTTCCATTTGGCTTCGTTTACTTTGATGCGCCATTTAAATACTGTTAATTAAAGACATATTATTATATTAATAATTTTCTATTAAATATAAGCAATTCCTGCTGTGCCATTGATCTTTTGCTATTATTACTTATTACTTAATATAATTATGAACTCTATTCGGTGTTGCAGTGAGAGCGAGGCAGGAGTGATGCGGAACAACAGCTGGCTGTACCACTACTACACTGTGCAGTCGAAGCTGCAGTACGGGCTGGGCTACGAGGGGGGCGGAGGGGGGCGGCTGGGGAACAGCGGCGGCTACTTCCACCAGCCGCTCTACCAGGAGCCGCCCCCGCCCCTCCCCCCCTACCACCACCACCAGGTCCAGTCCCCCCACCACCACCACTCCCCCCACCAGCCGCTGGCGGCCCACGAGCACTTCAGGTTAGTATTTAGTTCATACTTAAGGAAAATTAATTCAAATCCTTTCTTAATCAAAGTACCCTATTTCATACTCAAACCTTTACAGATTTTAACGCTGCAAATAAATCTATGCCATGTAAGATTCATTATCAGAAACCTCATATTTCTCAAGCTATAAACACATATGACCTTTATTGTTCTTAATCTATTCATTATTCATACATTTAAGGATCTTCAAATACATGAAATATTCTATCAAATAAAGGATTTTCTAATTGCTTATTTTATTAAATGTCTCCGAAAAATTTGAGGTGCGTTCGGGTTTAAAACAGAAGGATTCCCTTTCGCCTGTCCTGTTCAATTTGGCATTAGAACGTGCCATTAGGGAGGTAATGCGTACCGAGAAAGGGTTGGATCTGGGTGGGACAACATCCGTGCTGGGCTATGCTGATGATCTGGTACTGTTAAGCGAAGACGTTGAAGCTATAAAACTAAATACGACAACGTTGATGAAAGCCGGTAAAGAACTAGGACTCGAAATAAACGTGGATAAAACAAAATATATGGTTAGCTACAAAAATGGCGATACTACTGGCTATATCGATATAGATGGTAATATGCTTGAACAGGTAGATAAATTTAGGTATCTAGATTCTACGATAACTAGAAAAAACGAAATTGAAGAAGAGATTAAGGTTAGACTGAAGGCGCGAAATGCTTGTTATTTTTCTTTGACAAAACTACTTAGTTCGCGCCTCTTGTCCCGGAACTTAAAAATTAGAATCTATAAGACAATTATCTTGCCTACAGTTCTTTATGGATGCGAAACTTGGCCGCTTACATTAAGGGATGAGCAGCGTCTTAAGGTATTTGAAAATAAAGTATTGCGTAGGATATTCGGACCGAAGAAGGATGAGTTAACCAAAGAGTTCAGACGGTTACACAACGCCGAATTGCGTGAACTGTATCCGGGTAATATAATTGAGGTAATTTCATCGCGGTGAATCAAATGGGCTTGTAAAGTTGTTGGGTTTAATAACGAGGGAATTCCTAAAAGGTTAATATTTGCTGTGCCGAATGGTAAGCGTCCGAGGGGTAGACCGAAGCGAAGGTGGAAAGATTGCATTAAAGCCGATCTGAAGGGACTGGTTTTGGACGGCGAACGGTGAAGGGAGGTGTGTAATAAGTGATTAGTGGTGTCGGCATCGAACCTCCGGGTTCGCTAAGCCTTTTATTATTATTATTATTATTTTATTAAATGTGTATTTACAGAGTGAAACATATAGATGAGGAATTTGATTATACTACTAAATAGAAAGTAATCAAATAATAATATTGTTTCTAATTAGTTTTAATGTAATATCATTAAATAAAAATAATTAAAAAATATCTTTTCCTGATAAGCGGCCAGAACATCTAAGACCTTAACCAGCATCCTAGAAAAAATATTGAAAGATTTGAGAAAATAATCCTCAGATTACTAAAGCATGAAGGGAAGAAAACAATAACTGCTCAAAGAAACTGGTCAATTAATATATCACGATATGAAGGCAAGGTGGTAAATATGGGCTGAACACGTAATTCAGAATAATACAACAGAAAGCCACTGCACAATAGGCCACACTAGAGGTCAAGAGACCACGTGGAAGGCCAAAAACCAGATAGATAGATCAAATCAACAACGATGCAAAAGAGCTTCATTCAGATAACTGCATAGAATTGGCCCAATATAGTCCGAGATGGAAAAGGCTGGGAAAAATATCAACAAGGTCCGTAATGCCAACAGAAAAAAACAAATATATGTATTTTCAGACGCGAAACAGCCCTGAAGGACTACACGACTATGATGCTGATTTCTTTTTTGATTTTTTCCTTTCTGTCCATCTTTGCTTGAGGATATCGCTAACTTTTTTCTTCCTCCCCTCCGTCCACTTCCTCCTGGACGGAAGTTCCTTACTGTCCACCACATGCAACGCGCTTTTCAGGATTAAACTTGTATCCCATAACCCTACTAAAAATCTTCTTGTTTAAGCTCTCCACGGTCACACTTTGCATGTGTCCATAATACCTAAGTCTTCTTACCCTCATTTCCGTTTCCAATTCAGAAGTTTCACTGTAAATCTCCTTATTGGATTTCAGTCTGTATCCCTCTGGTGTTATTTTGGGCCCAGGGATTCTTCTAAGAATCCTTCTTTCTATTTTCAGCAGTTTCTCCAAACTGGGAAAGAACATTGTCTCCGTTCCGTACAGTATCACTGGCTTTACCACTGTATTGTAGTGCCTGATTTTGGACTTTTTGGACTTATTGATCCAATTATATATATTTTCTCCAAATATATATATATATATATATATATATATATATAGTGTTTCGTAAGTAGAGCACGAGTAGAAAATACCCTTTTAAAAGGATGAGCTTTCGAATCAATATTGCATCGAAGAGACAAAAGAATGTTTCGCGACCTTAACTTTTATTGACCAAAGTCGTGTTTTGGCCATTAATTGCTGAAAGGGTACCGAGGATAATACAACAGAGCACTAACTATTGCAATTATTGCACTATCGATCTATTTTTTTTTAAAGTCCTTCATGGTTCACTAAATATCGATATTGAGATGTAGTTTGTAGTTGGCCATTCGTTAACAGAGAATTAATAATTTATCTTTTATATATATATATATATATATATATATATATATATATATATATATATATATATATATATATATATGGAGCGGGCTAGCTCAGTGTGTGAGCACTGACTTCCAAAGCTCAGGGTCTCAGGTGCAAATCCGGCTGATCGACCTTGAGGTCAAAAAAATGTGTTGCTTTTCAACAAATTAAGTATTATGTTATTTATTTTCTGTGTCCGAAAAAAACATACCTAAATTGTATGTAATCATTTTTTCTGAAGACACTAATACTTTCTTTTTTTTGTTGTTAATTTTCACTGGTTATCAGTATTTCTGATCAGTATATTCGGGTCTTTTCAATGATTTAAGTGGGTCGTTATTTATTTATGTTGATAACAAAAGTTATATAGAATCTTGGAACGGCCTTTAAATATTTTACTAGCGAATCGGAATAAGAGGAAGATAAAAACTGAAGCGGGATTCAGTAGCGATTCATTAGTAGATAGAGGAACAAATGAGGATAGCCGTGGTAAATCAGATGGTGGAAGCAGTAGCTTCCATTTAGCGTTACACTATCTGATCCCCTATCCCCGGAGCAGGACCGTATTTCTGCCCAAAGGCTCCTCTGCTCCTTGTCATTAAAGCTAATTACCACAGCCTGGGTGTGTCCTGGATCCGCAGATAAGGTTCCCAGAGGTCGTCCGGTTCGTTATTTTTCTCTTTATTAAAAAATAAAATAAATAAAAATAATAATCAGGATTATTTCTAGCCATGTAATGTCAGTTATAACCATACTCAAATAAGAATATGTCCTTTATCAGGATAGAAATATGAGTTAAGAATTCGAGTATATTTTCGAGCTTCATTAATGGTGTTCGTTCATTGGTTTCGTAATTAATAACACTTGCATTTCATAAGGCGAAACAAAAAGAGGAAATTGTCAATTATATATATATTATAATGAAGAGAAGAATAGTTGGGGTGATCAGTCAAATAAGAAGGCAAAAATAAATGATAATATTTATTTTGACATTTGCCGACGTTTCGACCTGAAGTTCAGGCCATCATCAGGGCTAAGAAAAGAACCAGATAACAAGGTATGAGAAACATAAAAATTAAAGTAAAATGCAGTTGTTAGAATAATGACAATAGTAAGAACTAAGAGATAAATAATAATAACCGGTACAAAGTGTGGAATGATGAAGTAAACATAATCAAAAAAGGTGACATAAGTATTGAAATGGGAATCTTAGAATAAAATGTAAAACAGAAAAATATGAAGTTATATAAGAAATGGAAATAAATAGTAAAATTAAGATATTGCGAATAGAATAGTTAAATAGAAAATTGAGATGTTGTAAAGTCTATCAAGATGTACAGACAACGTATAATATAATAAAGAGTTAAAACAGAGAATAGGAATGAAAGGAAGGAGGAAAGAAACTGAAAAGGTTGAAATAAGAAAGAAAAAAAAAAACCTGACTGCAAAGAAGTAAATCGAAGCAATGAGCATGTTAGTGAGGGAGGGGGTGGAGAGAAGGGGTGTATAGTGGCGTCATCTCCAACGGTTATCTGACGATGTTTGAACTAAAGTACCGGAAGCATAAATAAGGAAGAGAGATATATTACTCATAAATATTATGGATAATTAAACGAAAGTTGATAGAAAGAGGCAATAAAATAGTTTAATATAAAATAAATTTATAATAAGTAATTACAAGTAAATAATTTATAAATTTATAATAAATTTAAATAGTTGATAGAAATTCTGGAGAGGCAATAAAACAAAGATAAGAAACTTTGTTATCTGGTTCTTTTCTTCTTCTTCTAATTTCAGGTCGAAACGTCGGCAAATGTCAAAATAAATATTATCATTTATTTTTGCCTTCTTATTTGACTGATCACCCCTACTATTCTTCTCTTCATTATTCACGACAGTCAACCATTTACCCACAATTATATATATCATAGTCATAATAAATCGCAAAATGCAACATCACTTGGCAGTTGTGTAATACTGAACATTGGTTACCGTGTACATGCATTGGTATTGTTCAGTTTGATGGTAAAATCTGGTAGGATTTTCTCATTTCGCTTATTATTATTATTTTTTATTATTATTGTAATTAACTTTTAATGAAAATGATAGGTGTAGAACTACTTGCAGTGTCAATGCTAACTTTTAAAACAATTCTTGTTCATATACAGGTATGGCAGAAGGAGCGAGGTACCGGAACCGGTAGACTACAGCGTGCACCACGAGCAGGCGGAACCATCTCCGCGCAGCTCCCCTGCTTCTATCGTCGACTTGGACAGCGGAGGTGGCACTGTCCTCTTGTCTTCGACGCAGAGCCTGGGCAGATCGAGACTTCTGGTGACGAAGGCAGCGACGACCCTGGATCCTGCGGAGATGATGGAGCAGTGGAACCCCAGCCCTCCTTGGTCGGACACGACCGTCCAGAAGGTGCCGGATATCCTTCACCAAGACCTCAGTCCTTACGTGACGACTACCCCGCCCACCCCTGGCTCCGGAGTGTCCTTCCAACAGCCGACGACCTTCACCTTCGACTGGACCCCTGAACAGTACGTGCCGCCTCCTCCTCTTCTGGACCCAGAGGAGCACACGCTCCTAGGTTGTTTCTCTTGGACCACCGGACCCTCGGATCACAGGTTGTTCCCACTCCAGCCACCACCACCGCCTAGGCCTAGCCTCATAGTGAGGGTCGACCAGGAAAGCGAACACCTCCTTCTTCATACGATAAAAGGTAAGTTATTGTAATGTAATAGTAATAATACATACAATAAAATTGTCTCCATACTCTGTCACGTGCTAAAAATAATCATAATTATGTTTTCTTGTAAAGCAAGTTAATGTTAAAATATGCTGACTATTTCTAATGCAGAAATTATACGGTGTAAAATCATTTTCGAGACTCATAATTAATATCTGAAAAGAATAATTCTCACTAATAATTATATCCTATACTTTTGTAACCGCTCCTATTTGTCGGTTGGTTCGATTAAATAAAGTATGAGTAATTTACTCTAAACATCAATTTAACCCGAAGTGAGTACGTTGAGATTTAGTCCATGTGTCCGCCACGAAATACATTTGAAGCTGCTTTGGCCATATTACCTCACTTAATTACTTATCTTTTAACATATTTTTCTGATATAATACAAAAATTTCACAACACTTCATCCATCTCGAATTTAAGTCTACGAGTTCTTACTTGTTCAGGAGCTGTGCAAGGAAAATTAATTCCGTCCTCGATACATCCATGATGGACTAACTCTCGAAGAAGAAGAGGTCACTGATCCTATGAACTGAAATGATCACTACCCGAAGCAGGAGATCTGTTCCCTATAGCTCCACAAAGAGATACAGAGATCCCCATTAGAGTTATGTAACTCATGTCCATTACACTGAAGCCTCCGGGATATAGTTGGATCATGTAACAGCACTCTTTCTACTCTTTCTTATCTAACGTCAATTTGTATCGTCCAGTCGAACGTTGGAACATTGTATTTTAGGAAATTAAAAATATTCGAAATACAGTAGATTTGTCCAAATATTGTAATTTACACCTTAAGATGTATGATATCTTAAAAATTGCCCAAAGATGGCCTTTTCATAAATTATTCAGTTAACTATTTTTAGGAGACGAGTGGATAGAACACGCTATTTTACAGGCTATTAGATGTTAACATATCATATGCCTTCAAAGTAAATTCTAAATTTACTCATTTTTTCTTATAAAACGTTTTGTAAATATATTGCACCTTCTACAAATTATAAATCTGTACAATTTTCTTCATTCACGAGTTTGTTGACTGCTAGTAATTTAATTTTAAACAGTATCATAATTTCAACTTTGATCACCGCTTCAGTCATTCCATCGAATTCCCTTCTAACCGAACTGAAACTTTTCGTAATTTGTACGTATCGTCCAGAAATCATTAACCCTTTACTTAAACACACATATATATATATTTATTTATTTATTAGGTGTAACTTACATTCGTGAGATGTTGAGCTCAGGTGACCAGTAGTCACGAACCATCATTATTTCATTGTATACCGCCTAGTACTTTCTTATACAAAAGGGCCGCCAGATGCCCAGATATTACCTTCCCTAAATGTCCTTATAATCTCAGGACACTTCCTCATTAATATGGAATATTTCTTAAACGACCCGCATCGCCGGGTTGCATTATCCCTAAGGAGGAGTTTAGCCGTGTCCTTTCTTCGGCCGAGTCCTTTGACGGCTTCCTAATTGTCCGTCATAGTCCAGCCAGTTTTTGCTGTCGCCTTGGGTGGCGGTGGTAAGTCGTTTTTAATAAGGTCTTGGGGCCGGAAGTCGGCTTTTCTTCGAGTAGGCCGCAGCTTCCTAGTTCTAGAGATAATAGTATTGCAGATATGATGCTTTCAAATCGTTTCTGGAAATGGAAGAAAAAACAATAAAAAGTTACGAAGAATTGAGAATAAGTTGAAGTTAGTTGTATTAACTTTTAGTTAAGATATGTAATTAAGTCGCGATGCTGGTAGCGATTGAAGCTATATTGATTACTATATAACCTTTCGTGAATGCATTTTAGATACGTTTGATAGACAGAACGAGATACAGAAAGACAGAAAATTTTAAAAATCAGTTGACCGAAATGAATTGTGGCTAAAAATGCCGCTGAGAACAATTCCTAATTATCTAATTAGAGACGAATTTTCAGCAGGATGTTATAAATTTGTTGCTTGGTAAATCTATTTCCAACTCATTACTACCTTTTTCTGTTTGCCCCTCAAACTAGAACCAGTTTTAGTGGCGTGATGAGATTCGTTATAGACTTATAGTTAATACTTCATTATTCATTATAGTTATAACTTTGATGTAAGTTGGGGATCAGATGGTCCAGCGACAGATACGCCATAACCAAACATCGCCGGTCTGATTGTACAAATTCGGCCGTGCTAGGTATCTACACGGCCAATGGTGCTCACAGTTCAAAATCCGTGAATTTATTTATAAATTCAACAAAAATTGGAAGAATTACTTTTTCAAACCAATAATAATTATAATTATTCTAAATAATTTATTATTTTTATTTTAGCTTCATGGCATTAAAAAAATCTGGTTCGTCGTGCATTAAACAACTATAATTTATCATCCTACTTAAATAATTAAATTTCTCCTAGTAAATTTTAAAATGCCAATCCACATTTCACATATCTTTAGTAACCTTAAGTCAAAATTAAAATTGCTCAGAAAATTTTATGAAGGGAGGCCTTTATGACGATGAATTTTATGTGTCTGACTCTGTGTCCTATTTTTAACTTTAAATTGTAAAAAAAAAAAAAAAAAATAGAGATCGATTATCTAAATTATTTCTTTACATGTGTGGTTTTACCTTCTTTAGGAACTTGAGTTTTCTTCGAAATTAAAAGCATTATCTACAATCCATTTATTTTTATAGTAACAATCTCAATTTTTTTTTATTTCTTAGTGATATTTACAATTATATTAAAGAAATACATTTAGTAAATGAGGTGAAAACACTTGTTGAAAAACTACCCAATAGTAGCAGTCTAATGATATGTCTAAATTAAGAGATCACAGAGCCATCTTCTTTTCAGATGCCTTAGAATCAGGAATTGAAGAGGAAGCAAGATTAGAAACGAGAGGGTTGGGATGATTCTGAAGTTTATTATGGAAGGATAGTTATCTGGATTGGACCAGATCTGAAGAAACATTAATTATGGATGGTTTTGTTTGTTACAAAGTAGGGAGTATTAAGGATTTTACGAAGAATTTTGGATTGTAAGGACTGACTACGATAGAAATTCGATGGTTTAGTGGAGCCCCATAGCTCAACTCCGTAAGCCAAAATAGGCCTTATAGTCATGTATATGAGTCTTTTATAATTAATAAAAAGTTTAGAGCGTTTGTCTAGTAAGTGCTGAAGTAATCGGAAAGGTCGAGCGGTTTCTTGTCGTTTCAATCTGGTATGAGGATCTCAATTTAATTTATTTTTTTCTTTTTGGAGAATGTTTGAAACGCTTATCGGTTTTGTTTTTTTGTTTTTTTCAGCACATTCGCTTATTGTCACTTTCATCTGTGATGTATGTGAAAAGAAAAAATATCATTCACATTAAATATAACATATCGTATTTTTTTTTAAATAATTAAATAGACAAATGTTAACTAAAACCGTAGCACTACCACACCAATTCTTTTTAGAATTATATTGACTATGTATAAACCAGATTTGCATACGTAAAATGCCTAGCCACCTTCTTACTTTCTACTAAATTCCTATTTGCATTTTTCTTTTGACAGCCTATCCTCTCGACAGTACCCCATTTATTAATTTTATAATAGTTTCAAATTAACTAAAAAAGAGTAGTGGTTTCATGGCGATAAATTGCAGGATTATTACGCCCAATTAACTACTTAGAAACAAGATGTAAACTAAAGAATTTTAATGTACATATAGGTGTATACAAAAATAAGTTATTACTTATGGAATAAAAATAAACATTTGGCTCCTGCGAGTAATTTTCATAGCACATTGGTCATTGATAAATGGAAATACATTATTTTTTTAAAAATATCTTCGCTCTGTAAACCAAAATAAAAAAAAGACTAAAGTGTTTGTGTGTGTACTTTTTTTATTTTGTCAAGTATTTTTCCATAAAATGGCGGTCAAAATTCCTTAACTGTATTATTAAAGTCAATGGACCTAAAACAGGACATTTTTGCAATACTTTTTTCCAAGAATTCAATTAAAAATAGTTTCCAATGAATTAGAGCACCATAGCAACTACTTACTACTAGGTACAATATTTAGCTATTTAGCAAATAAATGAAGAATGTTTAGTGCAAATATTCAATATTTTTAAATATTCGTTGTTTTTTGTGTTTAAGATATAAATAAACATTATTTGTTTAATACAATTCACTTTTCAATTAAAATAATAATAACAAGATTACCAGTTATTGAGTTATTTTTTCAAAATAAATTTTTTTCTCAACTTCCATGGGGGGAGGGGGGCGCGCCTGAATCCGCTAGTGATATAATTATTACATGAATGGCTTATTGAATTCTTTTGTAAGGAGTTTTTTAAGTAAATGACTGTGAAATATCGGAAAGTCAGAGAAAATCTGGCCTTCTTCATAAAATAAAATAAGAGAGAATGAGAGAGAGAGAGAGGTTGAAAGTTCCTTGCTAACCCAGTCCCCGCGCCTATGGCTGGTGGAGAAGGTTATCGTCAAAATTGTGACCCAATCTGTTTAGGGAACACATCAAACTTGATATTTGAATTAAATCAAGTAAGCACAACACAGCTGTTATGCTGCATATATACCTCAGTCATTGTTGTGACGCCGCCATTGTTGAAGCGTAGACGCTCACGTACCGTGAGAGATTGACTAGACTGGCCAGTTGAAAATTTTGTGATTCCACTGATTTATTAAACATGGAGTAAAACACTACAGCGGCCGGCAAGGGGCCAAGAAAGGAAGAGAGAGAAGATGAACAAGAAGACTGGCACAACAAGAAAAGAAAAAATGCAAGTATCCCAACCCACCTATATTTAACCTCCGTATAAAACTACATGTAATAAAATATAGCAATCAATTTTACTCATTCACTTCTTTAATCCTTTAACTCCTCTAATTTTACAGTCCACAGCAATAAATTTTCACCAGCTCTTAAAGCAGAATTATTATGACAATATCCCTGACAGTCTTGGAAGGGATTGGCATAGTAAAGTAAACATTTGGTCCTCCGGGCCGGATATTATTAAAATCTTTAATAATAAATTAAACATTTGGTCCTCCGAGCTCTGATATTATTAAAATCTTTAATAATAAATCAAACATATGGTCCACCGGGCCCCGATATGATTAAAATCTTTAATGATTAAATCATACAAAATTTTCTTATGTTATTCAGGTTAAACGTAGTATATTGGCACTCATATTTATATTTGTTCTCATTTTAGTTTTGTAATTACCTCTTATATTATTTATCACATCAAATTTAGCAATTAATTAATTAATTTCTATTCATTGGCCTATTTCTTGTTCTGATATTTGAATTAGGTTTCGATGCATAATGAATCCATATCAGTTATGAATTATCATTTTTGTAGCCCTCTTTAAAACAACCGCTACCTTAATTGAGAAACATTTATTTACCAGGCATTTAATAATTTTTTTTGTATTTAAAATATTTATTGATTTATTTACTGAATTACATTACTAGTTTGTATATTATCAGAAATTAATTAGCACTTATTGTCTTTAATAAGTATTTTAATAGTAATCATAATCATTCAATGTTAATATCTAAAGTCCACAGCAATAAATTTTCACCAGCTCTTAAAGCAGAATTATTATGACAATATCCCTGACAGTCTTGGAAGTGATTGGCATAGTAAGTAAACATTTGGTCCTCCGGCCGGATGACCAAATGTTTACTTTACTATGCCAATCCTTCCAAGACTGTCAGGGATATTGTCATAATAATTGTGCTTTAAGAGCTGGTGAAAATTTATTGCTGTTGGACTGTAAAGTTAGAGGAGTTTAAGAGATTAAAGAAGTGAATGAGTAAAATTGATTGCTATATTTTATTACATTGCAGTCTTCTTGTGTTCATCGGTTCTCTCTTCCTTGAACCCCCTTGCTTCGTCGTTTTTTCTTATGAAAATGCCACCAGTTAACACTGATTACAACGCTCAAATCACTACCCTGGAGCGACAGCTCAGAGGTTTACACCGGAACATCGTGGGATGTTCAGATTATGGTTCGGCAGCACTTTCGGATCTTGAGAAAGCTCCATTATTTGAAGCTCAACTAGATGCTGCAAATTCCGATTGGGCGCTGTTTATGGAAAAATGGGAGAAATGTGACACCATTCACGCTCTTGCGGGTGAAGATTTCCCGAGTGCACGTATGCAGGAGATTTACGACGCATGTAGGCAGTGAAGTAATACAAGCAAAAGCTATTATGCTCCAGATAAATCGGAAGCTAGCAGCGGAATTGAATCCAGCAGTTCAGGATCCTGTAAATCGTTCTATGGAACCAACCACGAGCAGGACAATTGGCGCTAAGGCCTATTTACCGCAGATACCCATACCAAGTTTCTCTGGTGAGATAAAGAATTGGACCCATTTTAAGGACACCTTTGAATCACTAGTCCATCACCAGACATCACTCACCAACACCGAAAAATTCCATTACCTACTTGGGGCACTAAAGGGTGAAGCCGCAGCTTTGG